ATTTATAGTATATATTATTACCCACAACTCTATTCAATGGATTTGTTTAAGGGAATGTCTCAACCGGAAACCATCGATTTTCCGTTAAACAATCCCCGCAGGTTCCGCACCAGCGACGCGAATCCCAACCCTGCAGCTTTCAGCACCAATACCACCATGCGCCCTGGTTGCCACACCTGTATATTCCCGAACCAATTGGAGGTTTTAATGAGAACATCATGGGACACTATAAAATCTATACACTATAAATATATATATATATAAAGGAGGTGTTAATTGGAAAAAAAAACTGAAAATCAGGGAAACTATGGAAACATATGGGAACATATATCTATAAGTGGAGCTTTTAATGGAATAAGATCATCGAACTAAATGGTGGATTTTTCCATTGCAACGTTTTGAGTCATTCAGTGGATACTTTCTTGTCTTTGAATAAATTGGGACTAGCATCTTGCTGAATAGCAGATTACCATCTGGTAAACTTACAAAAAAATATGGAAAATCACCATTTTTAATGGGAAAAGTCACGAACTAAATGGCCATTTTCAATAGCAAACTGTTAGTCCTGTTAGTCATTGCCAGAGGGTATAACTATTTTGGGGGTTTGATGTGAACCATATGAACTAACCCAGGAATTGTGATATGGTATACCCGAGGTTGATATTGTAAATGACTAGCATTTGAGATCCGCGCCCCGGGACGGTTGCACGGTTTTGGTCGGAAATTTGGCCGATTCTGGTGGCCATCCCAATGAGACCCACTAGATAGATAGAATATACATATATATATATATATATGTATGTGATATTATAAACCACCATTGGGACATGTATATATATATATATGATTATAAACCCAGTCAACTGTTATCAACTATAGTTGGACATGTAGATATATATATATATATATGTATATTATAAACGTTATATAATGGATATTATATATATATAAAAATATTTGGGATATGTACTATAGTGGGGTTATCTATATATGTATATATCTGGGCAAATTATAACGACCTCACTGTTCTCCCTCACTATAATCATGGTTAGTAAGGGGAAACATCCCCAAGAGAGCCTTATTTCAGGTTAGTGAATTATTGTAATTTGCCCGGGCATATATACATATACATATATATATATATATATGGATAATCTTATAATCCCATCCCCCTAGTATTAAACACCCCCATCGTGTGTTCCCAAATATGTGACTAAACCATGGTTTTCGGGGTGTGTTCAATATGAACAGGGGATGGAATTAGACACATGATGACAAATTCTCATTGGTGGGATAGTGTTTTTTTTTTTTTTTTGCGGCTTTCACTTTCAAAGCATTTATCTAGTTATAGTTATATCTTGACACAAGCTTAATAGTTGCGATTTAGAACACATTTTTTTGCACAAGGGAGAGCACCTAAAAGCACGATCTAGAGCACGATTTTTGCACGAGGGAGAGCACCAAATGCACAATCTGGAGCACGATTTTTTGTAGGAGGGAGAGCACCAAAAAGCAAGATTTCTTGGCACGAGGGAAACACTCGGAACAAAGTTTGTCCAACATATCAAGTTGTTTTTTGGGCTGTTACAGCTATTAGGACAGATACAATTTATAGTTAAATAATTAGTTAGCTACCCTTTCCCAAGCAGTTCCCACTTCCCATGTTTTTGGGGAATGCCTGCGGGAATTTGGTGTTTGGCCAAAAACATATGTTTCCAACTGTTGTTTTTGCCCAAATGATTCCATTGACCACACAACTTGGATGTGCCATGAACCACTTCGAATACTGGGATCCCACAGTCCGGTTGTGCCTAAAATTGTTGCTGATTGATTGTTGCATACTCAATCAATATAAGTGGATAAATATATATACCCTAATTACATTCCCATTCTTAATAACCTAATCATATCGGAATTCATGAGCCATTCTTGGTGGTTGAAACAACAATCAGAATACATACTGTATTATGTCTCACAATATCCCATCCCTATATATCCGCATCCATCCTCTACTGACAATACTTTAGATTTACACTTTGTTTTTGGTGGTTATGTATATACGTATATGGGTGTCCAGCATTTTGTTCGTTATATAACTTTAAACCCATACCAGTCGTTCCCTTTGGCACATCACAAGGTTCTGCCTGTTGCACTTCACGGTGATAATGACTGAACTGGCTGACCGTTTGCGTGTGGTTTGGGCCGCAGAACAGGCGGTTGTCCACGTGTGAAGGCGGTGTCAATGTTGATCCATTCAGCTGGGCCTATTACCCTGCAAAAAACTCATTGATGTAGAAAACCCATGGTTTCCCCTTTGGAAACAAATCGTGGTGGGTTTTCCACATCGAACTGTTTATGGGAGACATCTTTAGGGGATGAATTTGGGCCTAGAAATGGGGACAGAAGCAGTGTTTGGGACAACCAAAATGGTAATTTCATGTTGCGTTGTATAACATAGCAAATCCATCAGCATCCCTATTGTGACTACCTGATGGTTTTTGTTTGCCATGTTTGCTTGGCAGAAGGCAAACATTTGGGGACGCATGTGGACAGTTGGAGCATGTTGATGCCCAAGCATCCAAATTCCCAGATTAAACATGATTAAACTGCGTACGGTACTCACACAAGCACACACATATGTTGTAGTGGTATGGTATGGTATAGTACAGCCAAAACCCAATTTCCCAAAACTCAAAAAATTAAAGATCGAAATGGGCCCAAGAAACAGCTAGCAAACTCTGGGGTTGTTTATTTATGTTTATTTATTTGACACACTCTTGGGCGGTTCAATTTGGGGGAATCCCATCAATCAATCAAACAGGTGTATTAATCGATGGTTGTTGATTCGGTTGGTTCCACCTGTTTAAAGACACCAAACATTGTGATTTGGGTGGTGCAAAATTGTAGCTATGGCCATGCGTTTGGATGCTGCACCCAGCAGGGAGCCTTCGAGTTTCACGTGAACTTCTTCGGGCATACTTTAAGGCTTGAAGTAGACGAAGAACGGCCTTGTGCAAAGCTGCAAGGTGAAAAGGGGATCCCTTTTAGCGGTCCAAAAATTGGGCCCCTGGTCGTGGATTTTCCTAGTGTTGGCCACAAAGCAAAGTAAGGGGGAATGACCCCCCAAAAAGGCACGTATTTTAGGTTTATGATGGTTAATGAAATAGAGTAATTCTATGGCCGATCAAGCACGGCCTACTTGCAGGTTTCAGTCTATCAGTTCGTGATGTTTTTTCCGGGGTACCACATTCTTGGACAAGGTGTACATAGAGGTGCAGGTACCTTCCCGGATGGATTCACAGGTATCAGCCATTGAATGGCAAGGTTCTGTTTCTGGAATTTTCTTGCGTTGCCCCAGATTCTTTGGACATTTCGTGGGGAGAGCGCACATCACTTTCAAGTCAAACCTATCGTCAGCATGCAGTGTTATGTTATATATGGTATCTGTATGATCTATTCAGTGGTATTGTTTCAAAGACTGATTATAATAAGTATCAAGATCCTTGATTTGTTCGGGAGGAAGGGCCTTTGCATAGTTCCTCTCTGAATTCGCAGCACAGACTTTGCACCTTGCGCAGCGGGCGAGTATTTGGGCATCCTTTGAAGATGACCAGTTGCCCCCGGACTGCCCATCAACCGCTGGGCGCTGGTAAGTCACCAGTGTGTGTCTGAACATATATGGTGCCGTAAAATCCCACGGTTGATCATCATTTTCCGGCAAGAAATGGCCTAACATGTGGGTGCCCATTTTTAGACACACCCACACATGGGAAGATGATCATTTTCATGTTGAAGCACTATAATTGAGTTTCCGAATCAGCTGTCATTCGTAGATCAGCGGCTCTGCGGCCCTTATTGGGTGGTCAGAGAAGGCTTGGGATGATGGATCAGTCCAAGCCATTTTTGGAGCCTAGGAAGACCAATTTTTTGGGATGGCTCAGACACCCGACCGAGAACGATGAAGAAGGCTTCAGTGCACCCCAACGTGGGCGAAAAAAATCAGACTGTTGGTGGACCATGATTTGGTATATCGTTGGATGGTTGTAGCAGCTGGCAAAGTGAGTTGTGGGCGTTGGCCATGAGCAAGTGGGGAAATTACAAGATCAATCTAACTCTGGATTTTGTCTAATCGGTTTGGTGCAGCCTGCTGATGGCAAGCTTCCTTACAAGACCTTTCCTACGACAAGATGACACCAATCCCTTGAGGTTCGCAGGTGCGACATCAAATGTGCCTACCTGCTTCATTTGTTTTCTGATATGGACTAATTATCCGATGTCTATCCTGGCCATCCGATACATGATCGACATGCCATCTTCGTAGCAGAAAGTAGCTCCTGTTGTTCTCCAGTCAAACATGGCAATGGGCCATGGGATGCTGGCAGGTTTTGGTTGAACATTTCGAAAAATGGGTTCAGTCTGACTCAATTGGTTGGATTGAAAAATTGCCACGTTAGATACGACCACGGAGGCAGCCATCGCATGGCAAACTTCGCCCGCTTTTCCATCCCCAACCTGGGCAGGTGCAGCGAATTCTCCTGGAGTCAGGCAGGTTTTGGGTCGAACATTTGGGGGAGTGGTGTCACTTGTGTAGAAGGTGAAACGCATCGCTATGGAGTGGTGCCAGAAAACCGAAGGAGAATTATTTGCATTCATGGTGTGTTTTCCATATGAGGAAAAACAAGGTGATGCATTTTGATTCCTGATCCGGGCAAGTTCTGCCTTTCCTTTTCAAAGGCTTGGGTCGTGACAACCTTGCTGATTAATTTATTTGACAAGCGAAGCCCTCCTAATTCTGGCAATAAGCATGCGTTTACACATAGAACTCATGAGTCGTCAAGGAGAATGTCATTATGATTATCATCATGGCCCAATGAAAGCATACATAACATACATTATATATATATACACTGAATACAGACCTCAAAACTCTGTTCTACCTTTTTTTTTCCAGTTGCAGTACCAAACAATCAGATTCTTGGTGCTTGGACCAGAGAAGTGGCATGGCGAATGGTGTGACTCCTGATCATTTCGATGTGGTGGCGCCTCGGCGCTGCAGCGTTTTCACATGCCAGCCCTTAAAATCTAGTTGATATATGTTGGATTATGTTGCTAGTTATATGTTCGTTCACGTGTACATATGTATATATATATATATACATATATATATGTGTGTGAGAATATATATATATACATATATTCATGTTTTTAAATGTTTTTAATATGTTTTGTCCTTATAAATAGAAAGCCATGCAATGTGGTGCCCCCCAGTTATTGTGGTTTCTAAACCAGATTAGCTACGCAGCGACGTAGTTGGATATATCTGCCTTGAACCATAGTGAAATATTAGTTTACCCGCTTAGCTGACTATGGGGCACCACCATTATGATTATATCCCATCACATCCCCATGAATAATGTTTTTACCTCAGGGTAACTCATTTGCATCCCCCAACTTCCCAAGTCCAGTCCCGCTTCAAAGACCACCCCGCGGATCAACGGTTAATAGCTATATGCGTATAACCCATTTTATAGATTCATTGGGTTGGTTTACGGGAAAATTTACAGGAAACCCCGGAAACCCCCACATTTAATGGTCAAAACGATGGTTTCCTGTAGATTTTCCCTTAAACCAATCCAATGATGGGATAAGCCACGAATTGGGGACTTACTCTGCAGGGTGACACGGGTACCCTCCGGTGTCAATCGTGGCTGGAACATCCCCGGCAATCGTTCCATGTCCAGCTCGAAACCTCCATGGCTCGTGACTGGGCATTTCCCAGCCACGTTGATGACACCGGAGGGTAAACCCATTGCATTCACATTAGAATCCATTAGAATCCATTAGTATTCCGTTTCTATTCCCATTTTCCCATTTTCCTTAAAGTCCATTAAACATCATTAAACATCATTTTCGACATGCTTCCCAAATTCCTTTTTGGGCTTATCCCCTATATATATATATAACTAGGTTATAACCCAAGCTACTCATCAGTTAGTGGGATGATCCTGCAGGTCCCACAGTATTCCCAACATAGATGATGAGGACAAAATGCCCATGAATGTAGATCATGTTCCAAATGAGAAACCATTGGCACCACAATTTTCCACGAATGTTGTTCTATGTTTACCCCAGGGTATATCCAAGTCAATCACTATTAATCATTAATATTCACTATTTCACTATGAATCATTATTGATCACCATTCTTCACTTATATATCCTTAAGTCAATCACTATGAATCACTATGAAAATCACTATGAATCACTATGAAAATCACTATTAATCACTATTAATCACTATGAAATGCTCCTCCCAGCCCCGGCCCCAACGCCCAAAAGCCTGGCCCAGGTGGTGGGCGCCGGCTCCGGCGGCTTGACCGCGGCCAAGACGGCGGCGCGCTTCGGGGCCAAGGTGCTGCTGGTGGAGCGGCTGCCGCGGCTGGGAGGCGACTGCACCTGGTTCGGCTGCGTGCCGTCCAAGGTGCGGATGGGGATGGGGATTTTGTTTTTTCTTGATACATAGTGATGTTAATAGTGATAAGATTGATGTTAATAGTGATGTTAATAATGTCAATAAATGGGTATGTCTGAAAATGGGGTATACACCCAATTATAGCCATTTAGTAGGGATAATGATCATTAACCATTGGGTGTAGGGGTACACTATTTTCAGACACACCCACATGATAAGAATGATGTTACTAGTGATGTTAATAATGTCAATAAATAGATATATAGATAAGAATGGGATATTGTTTCTTACATCTACTTATTTGTTTGTTTGTATGTATGCATGTTTATATGTGTATATATACATGTATGTAATAATCATCAATTGTTCGATCAAAACCATCGCAGTCAATCATAATGGTAGGTGGACATAGTTTTCTTCTAAAGTACTTAATCACTATGCTTTTTGAGAATGCTGTAAATATTTGGAAGAAGATCGGGGCTGCGGTACTTGGAGGAGATGAGATAGGGATGGTAGGATTGGTGGAGGTGAAATAAAATGGGAACATGTTTGTTGTATGTTCGGTTTGTATTTGCATGTATTTGCACAAGGGGGAAATAATTGGTTCGGGGGTGCAATGCGGGTGGATGGGGATCGGGATGAGGTGGTGGGAAATGCGTTTAAGAGTAGTGGTTAGTTTTGTAAATCAAGACAAATAAAACATAATAAAACCACATCAGGCATCTGTATATATCTATGTTTGAACTGATGTTTGTGGATAGGTCGGGGTTGTGGTGGTTCAAAGAGGAAATATATATATGGGGGTAACCGTTATAGTAAAACTGGCTACGAATGGGCTACGTAACTGGTTAGAAGTGAGGTATTTTTCGGAGTAGACATGGTGGGATTTGAAGTGGGATGGGTGGATAGTGGATGATGATAATGATCATTAATTATCCTGTATAAGTTTGTTATAAACCCAGTTGACTATACATCCAATATAGATTCTACATTTGTCAGACACCTTAATTGGATCGGGATGGGATAGTGAGTTTTGTGTTTTGGTGTTCAAGTCTATGTGGATCAACACACAGAAAAAAACCGCTTTTGATTGACATGTTTTTTGAAAGAATGGATGGATATGGATGGATTAAAAGGGAAATCGATGTATTTGTTGGATCAAAGTTAAATTAAATGTTTGTTATTTTTCGTTGGTCTTGAAGCCTTGGCGTTCCATCAGTTAGTTTAGGAAAGCTAGAAGCATGGCATTAGGAGCTACTGAGTTTTGGTATATGTTTTGACTTGGCATTCACTAAGCCAATGAGTGTGTCACTTGCCCCATGGTCCACATGTCAGTGGGTTCGGTGGGATGTAGTGCGGAGCCTGGGGATGGGGGAGATTCTGTGGTTCAGTTGAAACATAATTTTGGGCCAGACTTAGGTGAATTGTGAACATTTTCCTGAAGCAGCATGATATCCCATTGAAACCAACATCTTTCAGGGGTTCCTGATGGTCACAAAATGACATATTTGAATTGGAATCCCAACTGGCCAGCAAAATCACATCCCCAACATCCAAGAATTGGAAAAACATATGCAGCAACCCAGTATATTTGGATAAACACCTTGGTTTCAGTTCCCTTGAATCAATCCATTCACACTGTCATCCTCCAAATACTTCCCACTTTGTAGGAACAATCACGAGGAATCCTCCCATTTGTTCACATTCCCACATAGTTGGTAGGGGAAAAAAACAGGACAACTCTATTAATTAATAGAGATACTTATACCATTATGTATCGATAAAAAACCAATGGTTCCAATAGTTTTACTTGAATCAATCCATTCACTTACCCTCTCGTAAACATACACAAAACTATGGAAAATCACAATGTTTAATGGGTAAATCAACGAACTACATGGCCATTTTCAATAGCACACTGTTAGTTTACCAGAGGGTATATTATGCATTTATCCATTATTTATGCATTGTTGTTGGCTATTTTCCATTGTTGACCATTATTAACCATCAATATATTATCATTATGAGTTATATAATAATTGTTAATGATAACTATGTTACAGTAATGGTTAATGTCATTTAAGAACTAACCATATTATCTCATAGTATGAACCATTTTTTAATCATATTGTTGGCTATATATGATTATCTTTCAGACTGCACCAGCCAGGCCCTCATCCGCTGCGCCCATGCGTGCCACGAAGCCCGATGTGCTGCACGCTTCGGGGTCAAAGGCATCGAGACGAAAGAGGTGAGCTGCGATTGGCAGCAAGTGAAGCAACACATCAAGCGACTTGGTGTAGAAAAGTGTGGTGTAATCATGTTTAATTCTCAAAAAAACGTGTTTAAGGTGGGGAACCCAATGCCATAAACCTCCCACCTATGGGAAGCTTGGCTGGTTTATTTCTGGATTTACCACATCAATCATATTGAAAAATGGCGGATCATAGTGGCATCACGGTATCACGGTTAATCCGGCTAATGGTGATTGGGCGGGGATGGGGGGGGTTATGAACCAATGATTTTTGTGGAGGATGTACTCACGTGGAGAAAAAGGTGGTTCAGCGGTCAATTGACTCGGTAATATTGGTTAGCAATGGCTAGTAACAGTGATCCAGCATATCTAGCATGACTTACCCACAAGAATGATGGTTTCACTAATGAGAAATAAATGAGGATATGCTGGGATATGGGGAAACAGACTGGATGGGTACAGTACTTTAACATACTTTAACCAGTTTTTTGTTGCTAGTACCAGTGTTCATGGGTACATTTGCGCTTCACAGCTCGAGCCAGGTTTTTCAGTGTTGAACCAGTGTTGAATGGTGAAAAAACTCGTGAAATGCCTCGAGAAATGCTTGGGTTTTGCCATATTACTGTACATGTGGCATATGTTGGAATTGAAATAACATGCACACATATCCATCTAAAGTATATCCATGAATAATCTCCATCAATGGTATATTTGAATGACAATTCCATATACAGTCTTAACACACGCGCCTCATGTATGTGATCAGTGCAATGACATGGATCAAAACCATCGACACATTCTATGGCAGACTTATGGTGCATCATTTGTTTAGCAAGAAATTCAAAGTGCCCGGTCATGAAGTTGTTGTCTTTGGTTCCCAAAGTCAACTGAAGATATGAAGAATGTGCTCTACCTAAGAGGATATAGCCCTTAAAACTGCCACTGGGTTCTTCACCAGGGTCTTGCCTTGGGCCTTGGCACGAGGTCATGTCAGGAGAAGATTTACAAACAAGACGACAGCAACTTGTCGGAGGATGGGGCAAACCAACCCACTAGGTGGTGCTACTAAATATCTAGCAATATCTACCAGTGGGTGCAGCAGAAAGTCAACAGCTGCAGAAGTCAACATCATATAGATATGAATCACATCTAGTCTGGTTGGTGGTTTGGAACATTTTTTATTTTTCCATATGTTGGGAACAATCATCCCAACCGACGAACTCACATTTTTCCGAGGGGTAGGTCAACCACCAACCAGTAGTAATTTACTACAGATTTTAGCAGTAACTTGTTTCATCAGTCCTGATGGTCGCTGAAGCCAGGTCCAGAGGTGCTGGAGGCAGCTGGAGTTCAGGTGCGTTTGGGATGTCATGCATCCTTCCGAGCGCCTTGGCCGATCTTGGACAGATCTCGGGGCGGTTGATGCCAAACTGAATATGCTCCCTGTTCTGATCATCCGGAGACAAACTGGCTTTAAGCCCGCTTCGCAAGAAATTCAACACCGGTTGGCTTCAAACGAATTAGAGTCTCAAGGATTCTCAATTCTGTTGGTGTCGGCGTGTGGTGGTCAAGCATCCCAATATCATCATTCTTAGTGAGCTAGTCAAACATCCCAACACTATTGGTGGTGGTCTAACTCTAACACAGCCCTAAAACACTCATTGCAATCCAGTTAAACCTAATACAAAACCCTAAAACCCTACATGATACCAGATATATTAGGGATTTACATGGATTTACCATCTTCATCCCTTCCACCCACCATGGTTTCTGGCGGAGGACGCTCACCAGATGCAGCTGACACGGGATTCAGACAGCGACGGTGCTGGTGGCGGCACCTCAGTGGTGACGGCCGATCGCTTCATTCTGTGCCACTCGGTGCTGGAAACGATGGACACTTGGGGAGGTGGGATTTCGAACCAACCAATATGTGATTTGGACATGGCAAGAATATCAAACTACGTTTCGGATTCAAGATGGATTTAAGGGAATTGGACATAGCCAAGGTTTTTTGGCAAACCAACGGCTAAACACTGTAAAAATTGAGTGTTGATTGTCAACCCGCCAGAATGTGGTTGTTTATGTTGTCCTTATGCTGGAGGACTGTGTTGTCATATCCCATTGAGACAAAAGATGTTCAAGGGGTGGCTTGGGTTGGCCATGATGCATGCAAAACAGGCAAGAAGACAGCAGGATAGGATGTGGTTCATGAGCACAACAAATAGAACCAATATAAACAACAAAATCAACAAACATGCAAGGCGCAATATGAAAGCCAACAACCAAAAACAAATTCATGAAGCAACTAGAGCATGGGATAACCAGATAGCATAGGTAGGTCCAATACCCTCTGGTAAACTACCATAACTACGGAACATCACCATGTTTAATATGTAAATCAACTATTTCTATGGCAATGTTCAATAGCAAACTCTTACTTAGTTTACCAGGTCGGGTAACTCTTGTTCCACACATGAAGCTTTCCGAAGTCCTCCAGGTGAACCCAGCGCATCCATGCGCCAGGTACCGGTGCCGGCCCTGCACTACCGCCCTTGAAGGGTCTTGATGCGGTCCCCGGTGCTGAATCCCGGGTCCTGTGAGCTGTGTCGAATGAGGGAAATGTGCTGCGGGATTTGAATGGATGCGATATGAACCACTGATGATGTCATATATATATACTGTATAATATATACATATATATATATATATACATAGTTAATATCTATATATACATATATATATGCATGTATAATATATATTATATATATAACACATGTATACATGTAATACACTGGAAGTCATTTTTGTTGAATGACACTACTTGTGGAAAAGCACTGGTCACTTATTGTGTTAACCGAAATCATTCTTTCCACATATCACGTATCCCAGAATTACCTGAAGGTAAAATCTATAGGAGATTTCCACATTTGGTGGTAAAATCAATGATTTCCTGTCAAAGAAAACCTTTAATTAAACCAATCTATGATTCTTTAGTTAAATCCATGTGTTTGATGATTAAATGCATATGTTCACCACTTTTTCACCAACATCCAAGTTTTGTTATATCCCACCTCTCGTCCAGGTGATTTTCCATCAAACAGAATTTCAGGACACTGAAATGGAGGTACTGTACCATGTAGAGTCAGATTTTGAGGGCGTATCCCCTTACACAGCCCTTACATAGGCCTTATTTATCAGTACCAAAAAATTGGCCATTGAGGTCAGTACCCCTCAGTTATGTTTGCTGGTTTGTAAACGCATGAACTATGTTAAATGTACGTTAAATCATAGGTTTCACCAAGTTATAAGATGTTACAAGTGAACTATAGTGAACTTATCTTATCTATCATAAATCAACTATAAATCTCATGAAATCACCATTTTTTGTTGATTCTCTAGGTGCCTTTCTTCACCTACGAATCCATCTTCGACCTGGATGTTTTGCCATCGAGCCTCGCAGTCATTGGAGGAGGCCCCATTGGGAGCGAGCTGGCACAAGCCATGGCGCGCTTGGGTTCGCAGGTGCGCGGAGCGGCGTGGCGCTGGTTGAAGGGTGATTTTTTACGCTCCCATTGTAAAAAAAAGGGTGGATTTGTATGGATTTGTAGACTTGGAGCATCACCCCACTTTAGTGGTTAATGATTGATAACCAGGTATTGGGATTTTTTCAGAGCCATTTATACATGGGATAAGTCACCCTCATCGAGGAATTACTGAGCAGGATCTGCTTTTTTTGATTGGGGAAATTCGTCCAAAACAAAACTCATGTGATGTATATAAGATGTAAAGTGTTATCCATGAAAGCTTGGATGCGTTGATTTCTCTAAGCCTATGATAGGTACTATGATACCTACAACATCCTCTATTGGTTCAATCAAATGGAGAATGATAGTAACTATCATATATTATCATAGGTTTGTGAATTTGCTGAAGGTGAAATTATCCTTTCCCATTTATCGGCCGCCACGGGTCCATTTGAATTATGAGGATCAAGCCAGGTATGGCAACCGGTTCAAGTGCAATACGTATGGTATGACATGGATTTTAATATCGCCCGAAACTTCCAGATGCTACATCATTCGTTGGCGAACAAGCCTGGTGAGAGTAAGTCCCACTTTTTTTGGGGGTTTCTGATGGTACCATTTGTAAGTACCACTTCACCCAGAACTTCATGAAATGCAGGGAACTGACCCATTGGCCCATTCAACCTGGATCCTTGGAAGGTAACCCTCGTTGGCAAGCTGATGCCTCGAGAAGACGATGACGTGCGCAAGGTGATGTCGCAGGTTTTCCAAAGAGACGCTGGGACGGCCATCAAGCGTTTTCTCTGGTGGAAACATGCGAAAACTTATGTTGATGATCGATTGATTACCTGTGCAATGGGTAAACTTTGTTTTGGTAGTCTATGATTTAAATTTGTTTTTGCCATGAATGTGGGACATATGTTGTTTCTTGTTGCACAGGGTAAGCATAGGGTTTGTGTTCTGAGAACATAAAGTTTAAGTGTGTAAGATCGTCAATGGACATAGCCAAAAAAGTAATCCCTTGTCTAGTTTTCACGGGGACTTCATGAACAACTTCGAAGTTTTGTTTGCTTAAAACGGTGTCTCACATCCCCCCATCCCGCAGCCCAGGAAAACATTCGCATCGTAGAAGGTCGCGCGGAATCGGTGGAGAAAGTGGATGGAGGCGATGACAATGATGAAGCTGTCCGATGTCAACGAACATAGCGATGGAGAATGGCCTGTTTATGGATGATTTATTAGGTACCTCGTAAAAATGAAGGTTTTCCATAGCTGTGTTGAATTACCAGAGGCTAAACCAAGATGTCAGTGTTACTTAATTAGTCTTCTCATGTTCATTGTTGCTTTTTGACATCCTCTTATGATATGGTTTTCAAAACAATCACATGGTGGTTGTTTGAATGATTCCACCAAACAAAACAAACCTATCCAATACATTCCAAGAACATGTGGAATAGGTATATATCATCGATCTAAATGGGCCATGGCTTCAAAATTTCGCTTCGGAGAACGGTTGATTTCTACCACAGCCCAGCATAGCGTTGCCAGGTGTGCTGCTCCGTGCCGGCGGCTGCGAGATTCACTGCGCGGCGCTGTTGGTGGCTGCGGGGCGGAAGCCGCAGAAGTTGGAGATGTTGGGCCTGGAGCGGGCAGCAGTGAGGTACACCAAAGATGGCCATTCGGTTGCACCAGATACCCGACCTGGTAAACATACAAAAAACTGATGGGAAAATCACCATGCTATCAATGGGTAAATCCACTATTTCTATGGTCATTTTCAATAATTAGCTATGTAACAAATTACCAGAGGGTATACTTTGATGAGCCTGTCATCAGACATGGATTGCAATTGGATATCCCGAACAATGCAGCTTTATAGCTTGGAAAATTAACTAGAAATGGTGGATTTTTGGTGGATTTTCCATTGCCATGTTTGATTGCCAGAGGGTACCAAGAGGATCCAAGGTGCTGCGGAAGTGGTCTAAAAAAAGGGTCAAGAGGCATCCAATACAAAAGCAGTACGCATATATAGATCCATATAGATAATATGGATGCGTTTCTTTGCACCTTTTTCTATCATCCATATTATAAGATATGCACCATATTGATATATCTTTATGCACCATATAGGTCCAGAATTATAGACCATTATAGATCTATAATGTTTCCACCTTTCCAATGCCCAGCTGTTTTCGAATTCCTCGCTCCCTTGAACCTGGTGATAACCTTGCTGGAGACGGTAAGAGGATCCTGACCATGTATAGATTATATAAATATAGTGTATAATACATATGAATCCACAAAAAATATTATATATAGTTATATAATTATTTACACAAAAATAGTTTTAATACATATGAATCCACAACAGACACAGAGAGAGAGAGAGATATATATATATATACATACGCAAATACATAGACACCGACCATGTCGTGGGGGGTGGCTTAAAAAGAAATGAAACGAGATGATCATTCAGCCATGATCCGGCCATCACCGCGAGGCATCACGGTGGATGCGAAATTGCGCAGCAACGTGAAGCACATCTTTGCAGTGCCTCGGCAACTCCGGAAATCCTGTCGGAGTTGTCGCAGGCACATTCGAGGAATGTGAAAATGTGAAAACAACTTTTAAAAATACCTAAAATAAGAAGAATAGTAATAGTATGTAATAGTAATCACTGCCAGTGGCAGTCTCACCAGAGATGGAGAGGCAGAGAGATTGAACCGTCATTAAAGGTATAATCCAATATATTATAATCTTAACATCTGAACGATGAAGTTATTTAATAGTAAACTTAAACAGAAAAACACACAGAGAATACATCATGTTCCATTCATTTTCCATTCATTTTCCATCAGCCGAGGTGGGGGACTGCCTGGGCGGGCTGCAGTTCACTCACCTGGCTGGCTACCAGGGCGCTCTGAGCGCCTTCAACGCACTGCAAGGGGTGCAGCTTAAGGGGCCCAAGCTGGCGGAGGCGCTGATGCAGTTCGATGATTTGGTAAGGGGGAAGTCAAACCCATAATGGCACCATGGTACATTTGACATGATGGAAATTATCATACATTTTACTCATTTTGGAAAATTCCACTTAATTTACCCAAAATGGTTCTAGACAGTGATGGAAATGACCAGAACTCCATGTTTTTTTTTGGGTTTTGATAGGGTTTCATGGGGTCATTCATGGAATATAAATGTACAAATGGACTATAATGTGAATGCAAGGGGAATGAATGGACTATTGGTACTCAAACATTGCAATGCGAAATGCGAAATAAATGGAGATTTATAGCTCATCATCAAACCAAATGGGAGGTTTTCCAGCAAACCATGTTTGATTTCCAGAGGGTAACAACAATGTTTAAGCAGTGACCATGTGGATTAGAATGATTAGAATGGGAGGGAATGAAGGTTTTACCAACAATTTGGATGAACATCAAAATTATAGAGTTACTGAGTAAACTTTCTATATATCTTGGAGGAACATCACAACAAGTGGTTTAACTAGCACAAAATGAAGATTGAATTGGAAATCGTTAGTCACCACTGTAGATCACGGCCACGCAAAAATCGTTAGTTCCAAGCCATGTAACGACCATGGATCCGATTTCGGGGACCGAGTTGACACGCCGAGTTTCGATGGATTTTCCCAGCCACCCTGGTTTGATCACACAGGGTGACCGTCAATCTTCCAAAGTCGATGTTTCTTGGTGAAATCCCGTTGGTTACATGCACGCGCCAACAATTGTTGGCGATTTTGTTGTGTTTTTGTTGCTTTAAGCCCCGTTGTGGTTTTGCTTGCATCCATATGTCTGCCGGTATAATTGCCATATTTGTTGCTTGAATGCATTATATATGTGCTCTTTTTGTCCAAAGGCTCCATAGCCATAGCCATGGGAGAAAAAAACACGTTTAGTCCGATCATTATTTGCCCTATTTTAAATATAGTTGTTCCATAAGCAAACTGTTAATTTGCCAGATGCTAGTGGTGAAATCATTTCAATTTCCCAAGTTTCCATCAAGTTCGCGATAGTTCCATCCCCCCAAAAAAAATATAGATCCCCATGGATGTCACATGATGTCACTATAACCAGCATGTTTCATTGGTGGAGTCTGGGTCATCTGCCAGGTGCCCCGCTGCACCTTCACGCACCCAGAAGTGGCCACTGTGGGATTGACGCTTTCCGAGGCGTTGCGGCAACTGGGTTCCCAGGTTTCAGCGAAGCTGCGACACTTGGAGCAGGTGGATCGAGCCATTTGCGAAGGCGGGGACCTGGATGGATCTGAGGAGTTCGGAACCGAATGTGAGATTTTTCATGGGACTTCTCGGAATTTTGGGGAGATATTTTGGATGGAATTATGGGATTTTTCCTGAGGCTTAATGGGATTATACGGTACTTGGATGAATTCTGATAATGACCTCACGTCCTACTATGATCCAGCCAGAATGATGAAACACGGGGAAAAAAGGGTCAAGGTTTTGATGGTTTTGGAGCATGTTCTTTGGGAGAAAGTATGTTTCTTTCTTTAGCATCTGGCCCTTGCAAGCTTTGGGGCCAAGAATGGCCGAGCGGCTGAGATGAGCTGGAAAATTTGGTTCCAGTTTTCAGTCGCTGACTCAGCACTGACTCAATATTAGTGATGCTTTATTGGTTGATATTGGTTGTGGTTTCTTTTTTTTGGTTGATGATTAAACCAACATCAACCAACATTTACCCTCGTCATGGTCCTTCAGGACCCACTGTTCGACCCAGCGTTGCAGGTGAGACAGAGGGCTTCATCAAGGTCGTTTTGGCCGCAGCAAACACCGTGATAGCCAGGTGAACTTTGTGGTGCATTTGTTAGCTCAGTTAGTTATACAGTTATACAATTATACAATAAGTAAATCATAGCGAAACTGTAGTGAATGGTAGATCTATAGTTAAATCATGTCAAATATATGTTGAATATCGATAGTCAATGATGTTTATATATATATATGCAGAGTTATTATCGATAGTTAATGGTGTTTATACAAACCAAGAAGACACAACTGAGGGGCACTACCTTCAATGTCCATTTTTTGCTACGGATTTATTGGATCTAGCTATCATATATAGACACACATATATAATACATCTATATATATACAGTACCTCCATTTCAGGGTTCTGAAATTCACATTGATACAGTACCTGGTGGTGCTTGAACTTGCTTGAAACTAAGGTGGTACCATTTTTTCCTCTTAAAATCCTGGTCAATAATCCCACCAAATGTCTTACAAGAATGTGTTTTGCAATGGGAGTGCTGCATCACGCAAACCCTTTGAACCCATTGATCACATCACCTTTGTAAGGACATCACCATCAAAGATGATTTTTCAAGCAAAAAAATGTCCTAACCCCAATGGTTGCTAGTGATCTCCCCTTGTGTTTTGTTTGTAAATGTTCAACTTCCAGCAACGCCCAGTTTTCCAGATGGATGGATTAACCACCCTGGCTCCCAGGTAGTGCTCAGTGGCGGAAGGATCGTGGGTGCCACAGTGGTCAGCCAGGGGGCTGGTGAGATCGCTTCCGAGTTGGGCTTGGCCATCAGTAAGAAGATGAAGCGCCTAGGGCCACGGTGGTCAGGTTTTGGTGTTTGGGATGGGAGGAACATGTCGAAAATTTCACGAAAAAACACATGGTGGTTTTAATGGAATTTCTACAAGGGGACCTAACCATTTGGGGAACTCATCAAGGTTGATATGAGATTGGGTTTATTATGATTTAACCATTTGCCTGTTGGAAATTTCACATTTTGCTATGAATCGTAACTACAGTACTTTATATAAATACAACCGTGCCTCTTTTTTCATAGTTATGCTACTATGTCAAATTACCAGAGTTATTTACCATGAAAAATATGGTGATTGAAGCATCAAATACAGGCCTTTGAGCCAACAAAAAGAAGGATTTGGTTTAGTCATGAAACTGGTTGGTATTGTGTAAGATATCTTGGATAGCCAGACAGAGATAGCCAGACAGAGTCGGATATGTCGGATGATGAGCCGCTAGCTCTCCGATGCTTAGGAGGATTAGGAGGGAGCAAAGGAGCAATGGATATCCACATCTCCTATCATATACTGGTTGGTGGTTTGGAACATTTGGATTATTTTTCCATAGATTGGAAATAATACTCCCAACTGTGGTTTGGAACATTAATTTTATTAATTTTATGACTTTCCATATGTTGGGAATAGTAACCCCAACTGACCAACTCATCATATTTTTCAGAGGGGTAGGTCAACCACCAACGATGGAAGCCCAGGAGCCCAACTCAGAGTTTCTCTTCTCGGTGAATCCACCAGCTTTTTTGGAGGGAAACTTCGCAGGTTTTTTCCAGTTTTTGGATGGCCCAAAATGTTCAAAATGACGAATGCATAAGCTATGATATGTTCAGGTGCCCAGCCTGACACCTCAGCCTAATTAATATGATGAGATATGGGAAATTGACCAAGAAATTGGATATGAGTGTCAACAATGAACATCAATGAACTGGGTGTCAAAAAGTAGATTTGTATAGATGCCAGTCCCATCTCACTGGCAAGATGTTTTGCTGCCTGGATGCGGATCCCAGTTAGTAAGTACTTTTGCATATTATAACCCATATGGTTCATATATACTCCATATCCATATATACCTGGGGATCTTCCACTTATCTAACTGGTTTTTGTTTGGTGGGATGCACAGATATGCTCCCCGCCTCCCCGCAGCATGCGCAGCATGCTTGCTGCGGTGTTCAGACTTTGAGGTGCAGCGACATCGCCAGATGCATCCATTCCTATCCCTCCATGAGTTTCGCACTACAACAGCTCGCAGCGGAGGAACAGTACGCCAAGCTGGAAAAGCTGCTTGGTTTTACCATGGGTGAAATCCGGATGAAACAGAAACCGGATGAAACCGTTTTATTTTTCGTTGATGAATTGTGATGTTCAAAGTCTAAAAGCTGTCAGCCTAGGCTCTAAATCAATCATCCAAATAGCAATTCTACAGACATCTATCCCATGTTCATCTGATTAGCCAACATGATGCTTATCCTTTGTGTCACTGTGACGTTCTCTCACACAACCAGCTAAGGAGCCAAACTCTCAAATGTCTTCGGTGCCTTTGTGGTCCGCGCTTGCACGGTGGCAAATAAGGCCAAGATATCGGTGGAGTCGAAGCATGGCAAGTCAGACATCTTTGCTCAAGAAAAACTTGATGAGTGGATATCAGTGGTTACCCTCTGGTTTGTCTTACTTTCCATGGTTTGTCTTTAATATGGATACCTCTATCATTTTTTGGTGGAGACAGGTCAGGTCCGTGACGATCAGTGTCTTCTTTCCATGGTAAAAATCTCCCATTCGATGACCGATGGTTAGGAGTCCAAGGTGACGCAGTTTTCGCGTTTTTCCCAGTGTAGAACACAAAAACACTATGGTTTATAGTGATTTATAGTGATTCAATGGGATTTTATAGTGATTCAATGGGATATTAATGGGGCTTACCGGCTTACCCTCTGGTTATTTAATATAGCATGGTATAGATGGTCCATAGAAATAGATGGTTTACCTAGGTTTACCTATTATAAATGGTGGTTTTCCATGGCAAACTGTTAAATAACCAGATGGTAGCGTTTATGGGGGAATATACTGTAACTATAGTTAATGGGTTCACAAACTTACAACTAGGGGGTGGGCCTGACCTTGTACCTTATCACCTAAGATTGGGGATATGAATGTTTCTTCAAAAACCTAGGGAGCGTGCCAACAGTTTGCACATCGAATCTCTGTAGTCGGACAGGCTATAGCCTGTCCCTGAGATTCTGAGATTCCAATGTTATATCAATTGGACCCATAGCCATCCGGACTGACTGCTTCACCTCCAGCAGTTCTTCATCTTCAGGACCCAGCCTAGCGACTGATTCAGCTGGCCATATTGAAGGGTCGATTTTCTGGGATATGTATCCGCTTTAAACGAGGAAAACGTTGATAGAAATATATATAGAAATTGCCCAGCGAAACCGTCATTTGCGGGCCAGAAATGGACCGAAGAAGTGCATTTTTCACACTTGATAGCCAGCGAAAATCAGCTTGAAAAATGGACCAGATCAAAAGTTTCACTGCTCAGTTGACGCCGTTTTGCATCCACCCGGGGCCAAAGAGTCCCAAGCCGAGCAGAAATGCTGCCCCAGATCCATGCAGAGAGTTGCTAAAGAGCCGGTGGACAACATGAGTTTTGGAGGCAGCTTCAATGGCAATTTCTACTGGAACAGGGGAAGATGAAGTTGTTATTTTTCTCCAAATGGTCAGAGAGATCCATAAAACAGGTTCGTCATGGTTCGCCTCAAACATGGAATAACAAGACTGACATTGTTATCAGTGTGGGGTTTCAATCCAGCCTTACCCACAGATTGGCCAAAAACACCAACATGCCCCTCGCCAACCAGCCCGGTAGTTCTCGGTAATTTGTGTTGGGTGGGTGGAGATCACAAGGTAACTGCGTCTTTTTGTTGGTATATAGTATAATATATATATATATATACATATGTAAATATATATATATATATATATATGTAATTATATTATATATATGTGTGTGTATTATATAGGTGGGACGCACGCACACAGATATATATATATATAGATAGATTATAGGTGCAAGCGAGATATATGTTTGTATGGATGTGTGATGATGTGTGTTTGATGCTGACCTGTCCAGACCTAGCACCAAGTGATGACAAGTCGCGCAGGGGAGCCTGGATACGAGCGAGATGTGAAGCAGTCACCTCACCCCACACTCCAAATGGTAAATGTGCACAAAAAATGCTTGATTTTTGTGACTTTTTGCATCGCAATGTTTGATTCACAGAGGGTTTATATCACTGTTTCAATTTCTTCTGGACGTTGCAACGCTTCGCCAGCCGCCTGCCAGTAGCATGGCCTGTCTGGGAGTTTAAGCCGCATGGTGTTTCTAAGCGCTCCTGCCATCTGGTCACGGTTTAGTAGGCAACTTGAGCTTGCGAAAGGGCTTAATGCTCAAGAAACACCCAGTTAAGCAACTTTCCATTTGCAAAGTGCTGGTTCAATCCGCTGCTCTGTGGTGCTGTTTGGCTCGATATTTGGAGAACCTCATGCCACGCAACAGCACGGTGAGAACAGTTGTGGTGACAACCATCGTGCCGAAAACCCCAAAGAGGTGATGCTTTCATGAAATGAGCATCAAATTGATATGCGACATTTTTTTGCAGCAACGACCAGAACTCAACCGAAACCATTTTTTATGGTGGCAAATGTGTCAGCCCAACGCACAAACAACCAGGAAACTTTGCAGTTTTTTGCTTGGCGCTTGCGCTGCCTTTTTAATGGATCCGCCCAAGGACTAGATGTTTCTCCCTGAAGGTGAATGCAAGAACAAGATGCGACACATTTATGAGCCGTACCATCTGGTTATTTAACATAGCCATGGAAGCCATGGCCCATAGAAATAGATGGTTTACCTGTTAAAAATGGTGGATCTTTCCATGGTAAACTGGCAATGCCATAACCAGATGGTACCCGAAACACCCAACGATGTTTTTGTCAATGGGATTGAAAAAACCCTAAAATGGAGCTATTGGGGGGGCATATCCCCTCATACAGCCCTTACACAGGCCTTATATACGGTAGGTACCTCCAATAAATCTGTACCTGTACCTGACATGGTGATCAGTTGTTGGGGCTGGTAGATTTGCTGGGATCTCAATTAAAGGTCGGAAAGCTGGTCATTATTGTGGATGTTCTGCCAAAAACGGGGCCTACGCCCAAAGTCAGTATTTGTGACGTTTTTGTTTCCGATGCTTATACATGTTTTGTATATGATTGTATATTTATGTATATTAAATCTAATGGAGTTCCAAATGGCAATCTGACAATCTCACTGTATTCTTTTGTCTTAACAGTTCCATGATGGCACATTATGTTATTTGACATCATTTGAGGCGAACAAACCACCCATACCAAAGGCTTGAAATATGTTGACTTAGTCAAACATATTGTATAATATTATATATTTACTATTTTAGGTTCATACGGGTTTGTCTGAAACTATCCTTTAAAACCCAATACTTATTATTATACCTGTTGAAATGGCAATAAACTGTTGGTATACACAATTTCAATGTTTCAGGCACACCGATCTCCATCACGAAAGTTTCTTGCCTATTTGCAGATGGACAATATATATATATACACACCATTATATATAATTATACCATATTGTACACCATTATATATATATACCATATTGTATAACATTATATACCATATAGTGTCATCACATTCCAATTTTTGCCTTCAAATTTCCAATTTTGCCTAGCTCATTTGACATTTATGAGGCTAACTCATTGATGCTGACGTTGTCTCGGCAGGAGCCACAGGCAATGAGCGAGGCAGGAGCCACTGGAACTCGTCGTGTTTTTTTTGTTTTTTGGGTCCCGTTCTGGGAAACTGTGATGAGCCCAAAAGTGCCTAGTTATCCGCAAGTTCTAAGGTTGATTATAGAAAACAGACGGTAAAATAGTTCATGAAGTTCTGATTACCTTATGAAGTTTGAGTACCCTAAGGTAAACTAACATAACTATGGAAAATCACAATATTTAATGGGAAATGTCACTATAATTGGCAATTTCCAATAGCTATGTAACAAATTACCAGAGGGTAAGAGTGAAGAAGACGTATTCAAATTCCTGCTGTGAAACGTTCCTCGGGTTGCTGCTGAAAAACTGCAGCAGTTGAGCTGATGTTAGACCTATAGGCCATTGGCATTTAATGATTGGTGTGGCTTTAGGCCCCGCTCGGGTGCCTTTTGAAGACCATAAAAGTGGTTGCCAGTGGATTGTGGCGAGCGAGGGGCTTCTTAAAACAATTTCCAAAACATGTATGAAACCTACAAGGTGGAGCCCGGAGATAACTAAGTTGGTTTATAACTTGGTTAATTAGGGTTTTAAGCCTATAGTATATCTATCTATCTATCTACCTATCTATCTACCTATCTACCTACAGTTGGATGGGGTCATAGCTGGGGGGCGCGAATCGTTATCATACGTGTATCCCTGTTTTTTCTATGTGAATATGGCTATGAATAGCTCATCCTCAGTGGATTGGGAAGCCATTTCTGAACCATCGATCGAATCGCAGGCAGATGTGTCCACTCCGCTGCAAATCGCCAGGAGAAGCCATGGCATTTCATGGGATCATTTGGGGATGGGATGAGATGGGCAATCCAGAAACCAACGGACCCAGCATGACCGGATTTGTAGCAAAAAAAAAAAATAGGGGGTAGCAAGGTTAACGTACCCCCAGATGAACATAGAAAACCGTGGCTTCTGTGCACTTTTTCTTTGGTTTGACCAATTGATGTTTATCCATCCTGATCTGCCATGGTTGGTTACAGTAATTTGTCGGCTTCCTATTCCCCAATTATCACTTTTTGGGAGTGAAGCCCAAAATCAGTGTGTTGAAACTTGCTATAACCCCAAAAATTTTAATGTGGAAAAAATAAGACACATGATAATCTTTTGGAAATAGAGGTACCAAGTTTTCAGACACACCCAAATGAATCAACCAAGCTGACTTGAAATCAAAGTGGGGATCTATGAGAACGATGAGACATTGTCCAGAAAGAAAAAATGCATAATTTGCACAGCATCTTATTGATATTTGTCGAACCATCGTTTATGCTACAAGTATGATATCCAAGTGTTTCTCTACAAGTGCAGTATTTACAGTAATTTGCTGGCAGGCTTTGTATGCATGTGTATATATATATATATGCGTATATAATCGTGTATATATATAAATATATATTATATACTTATATATATATAACCGCGTATATATATATATACATACATACAGAGTATACATATGTATATACATATTCATATGCACGCTTTTTCATATACACACCAGATCATGCCGGAAAGTAAGTACCCAGATCTCCATCTGATTTTGAATCGCTCATCAAAGGTTTCAATGGAACAATTTTAGCCTCTGGTGATGTCAAAATAGCTATTGAACATGGCTTGAAATAGTGAGTTTTCCCATTAAACATGGTGATTTTCCATAGTTTTTTTGTATGTTTACCAGAGGGTATCGAAGCTTTTCCATTGTTTTTTCCCATTCAAAACAATGATGTTCTATGATTTCCCCATGTTTTTCCCTTGTTTCCCATGAGTTTCTCCATGATTTTCCGATGGTTTTTCCCACTCAAAGCGGCGGCCTGCAAGGAAGATGGGACGGCATCAGGGGATTCTACAGGAGGCCTTGTCCCGGCAGGACGGGCGAAGCGGAGCAGTGGGATGTGGGATGTGGCACCTGTGCTGTCGAAGTGACAAAATCACCCAAAATATCCCAAAATGATGGGACAACATGGGACACTTACATACATTTACATGATTTGAGCGAGAAACATATGATGTGTTATACTATTTTATGCTTGATCTATATGATGCAAAGTGGGTGAACACATATATATATATATGTATATGTATAGTCATATATCAAACTGGTTCTTTGGGTTTAAACACCTACTTCTAATAGACTTATAACTGATAGAGCTTGTAGAAAGAGCATCCATTTAAATCCTCTGAAAACTACATTTATCTAATCTATGGAGCCACGTTTCTTTTTGTCGGGGGAACTAAATTCAGAAGTGGCAACCACAGCCTGCAAGTGTTTGATGGGTTAGATTTATTGTCATGTTCGTTTTCTTGGATTATTTCAGTACTTGTGAGAAGTGTTCGAAGTTGCACTAGACTCACTATACATCAAAATGTACTTTCCTTTTGGGAACATTGGGTAATTAACCCAAAATGTTCATGGCGAATCATCATTTTCCATGAATACATAGCCGTTTCTTCAGGTAAATCCTCCCCCCTGGTCAGGTACCAAACCCATCTCAGTTCCATTTAACCATGGTGTCCCATCAAGGTGTGGCCTAAACATCCCCATCAAATGGTTGTGAAAAATCCCCAGGAAAAGGTGCCTCCCAGTTATCTGTGTTGGCAATTTGTTGCTTTATGTTCATACATATACAGATACACATGTAAATCATCAATTCAATCTACCATTTCCACCCAACAAACAGTCAACTATAGTAAAATCAACCAACAAACCAAACCAATTCTCCGTCATCAAACATGGCTAGCTGGAAAATGTTCCATTCACAGATGATTTTCCCAGCTATAAACCTTCACGGCAGCCTCGTGTGATGACACCGGGGGGTATCCTAAAATGTCATTTTGTTGGTCATATATCCCGACTAAATCCCAATAAATCCATTGAAATCCCATTTGAATCCCTATTACATAAACAATCCCATTAAATCCATTTAAATCCCATTAAATCACCATGAAACCACCACTAAATCATTAAATCCCCGTTGTTTCTTCGTTTTTTCCCGGTTTTCGAAAACCTTCTGCGACAGGAGAAGCTTCTCCAGGGCCTCATAGATGTGCTCCAAGAGGCTCCAGAGGTGGGATTTACTGAAAAATGGGGTAAGCCATGTCGGTAAAACAATGGTTAATAATACGTTGATAGTGGTAAATAATGGTTAATCATGACTGGCAGGGTCTATGTTAATCATGGTTGATAATGGTTAATAATGGTCAATCATGGTTACCATTTGGTTATGACTAACAGTTTGCCATGGAAAATCACCATGAAATTAATAGGTAAACCATCTATTTCTATGGGCCATCTAGACCATGGCTATGTCAAAGAACCAGAGGGTAATCATGGTTGATAATGGTAAATAATAGTTATTAATTTAATAATTGCAAATGGATGACTAATGATGATTAATGTGGACAATGCCAAATAGTCATAACCTATAATTATATATGGTTGTAAGAATGATTGATAATGTGGGTAAAACAAAATGTCGTAAACCACCCATGACTGGGAATGGTAACCATACCACCTAGATTTATGGTGATGACTGGGGAATGGTTTATGATTGTTTTACCCACATGACCATAATGGACTAATGGACGATTCATATTATACTCAAAAAAATGTTTTGTTTGTTTTGGAGGTTAGAATATATTCCAACGGAGTATTGGTAACCCGTTTTTTTCTTTATATAGAGTAGATATATGCCCATATCCCCATTGTTGTTGGGATTTATCCCATGGCTATGGCGTATTGGTAATCCATATGGATGCGCCAGTTATTGGGGTTGATTATTCCATGGTCATCCCAAGAAATAATCGATAATGTGAGTAAACTCATAATAAACCACCAAAATGTTCATGGTTTATACCACCCATTTATGGATATTTATGGTACATTTGGGGATGGTTTACTATTGCTGTACTTACATTAGAATCATTAGATGTTTCTGTTTAAGGGTTTTAATCCACCAAACACGTGGATTTCTGAGAAAATCACCAAGATCAATGGGGATAAGCACGTATTCCCATTCTTTAGTGACTAAACATCAAACATCATCAAACTTTGATAGGTGTAAATCCTACTTACCCTCTGGTAAACATACAAAAAACGATGGAAAATTCCCCATTTTTCATGGGACGAGTCACTATTTCAATGGTGATTTTCCGTCAAATCTCCATGACATCACTCAGCAATTTTCATGGCCTCCCCGGTTAATTGTTGTTGGTTCATAACCTCATTTCGCATGGATAGATCATGACTACCACAAAGTCTAGTGAATTCTTAGTTAATGGCGAATTATACCAACTTACAGCTTTTGAAAGTCAACATTAGTCAGCTACTAGTCAACGTTTGTGACAATCTAATTATTAAGCTGTTTTTTTGCAAACTCGAGGTAAAGTGTAATGAGGTCGTGAAAGATAGATGACAACCTCGAACTGTACAGCAACCCCGAAAAAGATAGAACTGTATTTTAAGATTTTGTTGATGAGATAATATATATATATACTGTATTCACTTCGTATTTCCAGGTTTGTCAGATTCTCACTTTTGTATCTATTTTGGGGTTGCTACATCAAGAATCACGTCCAAACACTAGTAAGCATGGCCCTTGAGAGTGGGGATGGTTGTGAACGACGAGGCACAATCTTCTCACCTCAATCACATATTTCCCATGGAACTTCAACAGATATCACGCCACTTTATCTGGATGTCGATCACGAGGGAGTCATCTATCGAGTTTGGGATAGGCGACAGAAGACCTAAGACTTTAAGACCTGAAGTCCTAAAGGATCATAAAGGATAATCTACATAAGCACGCTAAGCACGCTAGCTGGAACATGTTCCGCTTCTGTTTAATATCCACTATATATATATATGATTATATATGTGTGTGCGTGTTTGGAACATGTTCCACGTTTGTTTAATATACATAATATGAACATATGTAATCATATATATATATATATATCATTATTATTATTATTATTTATTATTATCATTATTATTATAATCATTATTATTTTATAATCATTATTATTGTTATTATGTGAGTGTGTGTGTGTTATGCGTATGAACATCGCGCATTTGCTGTGGCAATGTCAAGGGCACAACCACTTGGTTCCACAGTAATTATCCCCAGTTGCTGCAGCTATACCCCTATAACTGCCTATAACTCCCAAATATTCCCTCTACATACATCCACGCACATCCACGCCTAGAATGGCTTTGTCTTCTAACATTATCCACTACTGAGACACGAACAAACAACATCCATATTTTCCAGAAGGATATTAAAAAGACACAGATATCATCAACGAGAACCTCTCCCTGCTGTGTCTTTCTGGAAACGTTGTCATAGCAATAGCTTGATCACGGGATGCTTGAAATCTCCAAACTTCCGACCTGGGGAACTTGAATCATACAGGATATCTCAGGCTTGCAAAGGAAAATGCAATCATCTTAGATTTTCTGAAGATCGTAGTGGATTTTCATGGATTTTCCCAATGGGACATCCTCTACTTGGGGAATCCAAACAGGGTAGATTACTTTTTTGGGGGTCGATCAGCAAATCCAAGTCATGTGGGCACCAACACCTCCTCTTCTGCCAGGAACTAAACGAACATTGAACGTTTTCTTGATGTTCCCTTTATTATATAAAGCACAGGCATCCAATCATTTTTGTTTAACAACGATGCGTTTTCTAGAAATGGATGATGGGAAAATTGGCAGGAAACCTTTACATTTGGCGGTAAAAACTAGGGTTTTGTGTCAACAACCCAAAAACCATGTTCTTGGCTATGCACAGAAAATATCCCTACAAATTATCTCCATCAGATGTCTCCATATAATCCAAGTATAGTTGGTGATCTGATTGGTTATATCAGTTATGTACTAGTATTACCAACTTTTTATATTTTTAGTCACAACATATGCGGTCAATTACCATTGCCAATTATGATTGGTTATATCCTATCATTAATATTGCCATTTATAAATTATTTGAGTGGTTATATCAGTTATATCCCATTATCACCAACCATTACATAATACACTAATTAACCACATATCATGTTTTATCCTATAGCATCATATACTACCAATCAAAGACTGTACCAACATTATTACAGTACTATTGACATTTTTTCAATATAACAATACTGGTTGGTGGTTTCAAACATTTTTCCAATTTTTCCATATATTGGGAATGTCATCATCCCAACTGACGAACTCATATTTTTTCAGAGGGGTAGGTCAACCACCAACCAGAATATCATACAAAAGCTTCGGCATTGTGGGAATATCCCCTGAAATTTTAGCCCTTACATAGCCCTTTCCAATTTTCCTGAACCACCAACCAGTATTATATGAATAGTCTCGTAATATTTATACCAGGTAAATCATAGTGACCTCATTGTGACCTGACTGAAATTATGCCCAACATTGGCTTCGGGGAAGACTTCCCCTAAATGGCCCAACATTTCAGCGTGACTTGTTATAATTTTTCCATATTATACCACAAAAATAGACTGCACATATATATATATATTGTTTATACACATGTTTACCAAACGTTTACATATACCAATGTTTATATACTGTATAGGCTTTATCTTCTTGGTAGTGCATCTATTTAGCGGCAGAAGAAGACAATATGATGTCCACTGGCACCTTATGCAGATGGCACAGGCCAGGGACCTTGACCTCCGAGTCTTGTCCATGGACACCGCGGTTTCTCCATTTTATGGTAATTTGATGGAAACCTCACCCTCCTGGAAGAAGCTTGTGCAGCTTTATGAGCAAGGGCTTATTGCTGCCACAATTTGTGGCGCGCCGTGTGAGACATTTTCAGCTGCCAGGCATGTGCCGCCGCCAGCTGATTTAGCAGCACACGAGAGGAGGAGGTGGCCAAGGCCGTTACGTTCGTTTGCACAGCTATTCGGACTAGCTGGTCTACGCCCCCGTGAGCTTCGCCAGTGTAGACAAGGCAGTGCTTTCATGATGCAGGCTGTGATGGCGTGCATCTGGCATCTCCTTTATGGAGGCTTGTATCTAAGCGAACACCCAGCTCCTCCGGGGGACGAAACCAAAGGGTCCATTTGGACAAGCGCCATCATCCAATTGCTCAGGCAGCATCCTGATATTTCGCTCCGTATCTTTGATCAATGGAAATGGGGTGCTGAGGTCAAAAAACCTACGGGACTGCTCAGCCTCCGGATGCCACACCTTGGACGTTCAATGTATGCGTGTGCGGATTTGAATGCTACATTTCCAAAGCAAGTGGCGATTGGCAAAGATCAGGACGGAAACTTTAGGACTGCTGTCTGTAAAGAGTATCCACCCCTGTTTTCTGCAGGGTTAGCCAAGGCCGTTGTCGATCAGCTTTGTACAGTGAGGCACCAACGGACCTGCCAGTCTTTTGTACTTCAAGACACTGACCTTTCCAGGTGGTTGTTTGAGGCAATGGAGGAAAGCTCACGTATTTATGAGCGAAGTACCCATATGCCGGACTACCAAGGCCAGTAACTTTTCCTAATTAGAGAGCGTTTGCATGTCTTTACGGCTACAAGAGCTGGACTCTTCACTGCCACGGAAATTGGAAATTGGAAAAATATAGGCTTTACCATATATATAAATATAAACCAATATATATATATACCAATATATGCATACTATCATTTGTCATGTATCCAATATTTATACATATATATATATATATATCTGGGCAAATTATAACGACCTCACTTCGACCTCACTGGGAATGATGGTTAGTAAGGGGAATCATCCCCAAATGGCCTTAATTCAGGTTAGTGAAATATTATAATTTACCCAGATATATATATATATATACATGTTTACACCAATGATAAATGATGCCAACTATGTTTATTCCAAGATCTCTGGTGAAGGGATCGGCTTTTCAGGCGCTGCTTGGCGCCAAAGCTGAACCGGATCCTTTGCTGACCGCCAGCGAGGCTTGGTCTTGAGATCCCACAGATCCATAGATAAACCATGGGAGTTTTCAATTAAATTGATAGTAATCTGGTATTATAGATGTTTATATAGTTAAATAGATTTATATAATTATATGGATGTTTATCTATATATTTATGGATAGATTTACGGCATTTATTTAAATCATGTGATTTTATTTGTATAGTTATTGCTTTTTTCTATATAGTTATTTGTATAGCTATTCCCAGCATATTTGATTTTTTAAGATGTCAGATATATCTATATGGGTATAAGAATCAAAATTGGGTACCCCAATAATTAGATGATATTAAACATAATACTGAAATATATGGTCCCATAAGCTTTAATTTTTACCCACCCTCATATAGCTAATGGAGGATTCATATGGACAAGCTATCACAGTCTATCAATGGATCGGTTTAAGAAAACACCTTCAGCTGAAACCAGGGTTTTGTTCCCATGTCAGTTGTCCCTTCAACCAATCCATTGATAGCATGATAAACCATGCGATTTTACCTGGTGTTTTGAGGGTATAATTACTGGGAAACATCCTCAATTATTAAATATTATCAAATCATTTCTTCAGATAGATGCACAAAGTAACAAAACAATGGGTATGTTGGTCTGTGACCAGTCTTTATAATGGGGATTTGTAATAGTTACATGTTCCCTCCAAGCATAATATTGTATCTACTGTACCATTTAAATCCATAGAGAAATCCCAGTTGAGCTAAAGATCAAGCTATCCAGGATGCTTGCGCTGCAAGGTGGGTCCCTGGTTTAAAAAAAAAACATACGGATATAAATATAGCTGGGAGACATCCGGGTAAACACTCAAATATTCGTGTACCCTCTGGTAAACTAACATAGCTATGGAAAATCACAATTTTTAATGGGAAAACTCACTATAAATGGCAATTTTCAATAGCTATGTAACAAATTACCAGAGGGTAACTATTATGTAACAAATAATCTGAGGCTAGGAGCCGCTAAATGATGTTCTATCCGTATATCCCTTTTAGATCGAACACGACACTATGGAAGACCACCAGTTTGAATAGGTACATAAAAAACTACCTAAATATCACACATTATCTACGTTCACCGGCCATGGCTTGCATAGCAAAGTCTTGGATTACCAGAGTGTGATTTCCATTAATATCCAACGTTTGTTCCTTCAGTCCATGGTAAACACCACATATATATATACATAATCCCGTTACATCGCCATTTCTCCCATGGGGTATAAATCCCATATCATGTCAAGTTGGTCAATAACCCAAACATGTCCCCATCGATATCCCATGGTCAACCCTTTTAAGAATAAACCATCATTATGACAAACAAATCACTACGAAAAATCCCTTGAAGATGTCATTAAAAGGTGGGATTTTAATGACAACAATCATTTTATCCATGTCATTACCCATGACGGATCCATGGTGCTGCTATATATGGTAACATTTACCATCAATATACCCCAAATGTTAGCATATATACCAGCACCATGGATCCTATGGGTTAAATGGTTAATAACATAATGACCCACCAAAAAGAAAATCATTAAAAGTCATGAAAAAAAAACGTTGTTCCACGTTTTTTTCCCATGGCTATCCCACTGTCACCTGGGATCACAGGTAGATGGCCACCAGATTTCTGCCAATTGGACGGAGGCCGAGTTCGCCGTGGATCGTGTGGGTCACCTGAAAGATGTCCCCCAAAATTGGGAGATTTGGGTGGCAAAAAATCACCTGAAAGAAGTAACATATATTTCTTTATTAGGAATATAACAATATATCATTATTGTTGGGGAATATTGGGAATATATATATATATATAGTAAACAGCTGGCACATAGAATATTAAAAATTTTAACGTGCCACTAAGAATATGGAAAATACATAGCAAAACCTTTTCCTGGAATGTCATCCACATAGAATATTTATCCACACAGAGTATAGGTGTGTATATATATATTATATAGGGGTATATATATATATATATACATTTACATTATCCAAATCTCATTCAAATGGTCTCCATAAGATAGCACCAATGGCATAAACGCATAAATATACGAACCGAAACCGATACGTATTAATTATATACGTTGCTGAGTTCATCATTTGACCATGCAAGCTCTCTTCCCAGAAAATTAGATATTTCCGTAGTACCAAAACAGCAGATTACAATGGATTTGTTGACATTTGTGATGCACTTAAAATATGATGGGAACATAAGGAACATACATCAAACTCATTCAAATGGTCTCCATAAGATAGCACCAATGGCATAAACGCATAAATATACGAACCGAAGCCGATACGTATTAATTATATACGTTGCTGAGTTCATTATTTGACCATGTAAGCTCTCTTCCCAGGGAATTAGATACTTCCGTATTACCAAAACAACAGATTACAATGGATTTGTTGACATTTGTGATGCACTTAGAATATGCTGGGAATTTAAGGAACATACATCAAACTCATTCAAACGGTTCCTCACTTAACAGCTCCAATGACATAAACGCATAAATATACGAACCGAAGCCGATACGTATTATTATATACGTTGCTGAGATCATCATTTGACCATGTAAGCTCTCTTCCCAGGGAATTAGATATTTCCGTATTACCAAAACAACAGATTACAATGGATTTGTTGACATTTGTGATGCACTTAGAATATGCTGGGAATTTAAGGAACATACATCAAACTCGTTCAAATGGTCTCCATAAGATAGCACCAATGGCATAAACGCATAAATATACGAACCGAAGCCGATACGTATTAATTATATACGTTGCTGAGATCATCATTTGACCATGTAAGCTCTCTTCCCAGGGAATTAGATATTTCCGTAGTACCAAAACAACAGATTACAATGGAATTGTTGACATTTGTGATGCACTTAGAATATGATGGGAACATAAGGGGCACACATCAAACTCATTCAAATGGTCTCCATAAGATAGCACCAATGGCATAAACGCATAAATATACGAACCAAAGCCGGTACGTATTAATTATGTTGCTGAGTTCATCGTTAGACCATGTAAGCTCTCCTCCCAGAGAATTATATATTTCTGTATTACCAAAACAACAGATTACAATGGATTTGTTGACATTTGTGATGCACTTAGAATATGCTGGGAATTAAAGGAACATACATCAAACTCATTCAAACTGTTCCTCACTTAATAGTTCCAATGGCATAAACGCATAAATATACGAACCGAAGCCGATACGTATTAATTATATACGTTGCTGAGATCATCATTTGACCATGTAAGCTCTCTTCCCAGGGAATTAGATATTTCCGTCGTACCAAAACAACAGATTACAATGGATTTGTTGACATTTGTGATGCACTTAGAATATGATGGGAACATAAGGAACATACATCAAACTCATTCAAATGGTCTCCATAAGATAGCAGCAATGGCATAAACGCATAAATATACGAACCGAAGCCGATACGTATTAATTATATACGTTGCTGAGTTCATCATTTGACCATGTAAGCTCTCTTCCCAGGGAATTAGATATTTCCGTAGTACCAAAACAGCAGATTACAATGGATTTGTTGACATTTGTGATGCACTTAAAATATGATGGGAACATAAGGAACATACATCAAACTCATTCAAATGGTCTCCATAAGATAGCACCAATGGCATAAACGCATAAATATACGAACCGAAGCCGATACGTATTAATTATATACGTTGCTGAGATCATCATTTGACCATGTAAGCTCTCCTCCCAGAGAATTAGATATTTCTGTATTACCAAAACAACAGATTACAATGGATTTGTTGACATTTGTGATGCACTTAGAATATGCTGGGAATTTAAGGAACATACATCAAACTCATTCAAACGGTTCCTCACTTAATAGTTCCAATGACACAAACGCATAAATATAAGAACCGAAGCCGATACGCATTAATTATTGTTGTTGAGTTCATTGTTAGACCATTTTAGCTCCTCCCAGAGAATTAGATACTTCCGTATTACCAAAACAACAGATTACAATGGATTTGTTGACATTTGTGATGCACTTAGGAATATGCTGGGAATTTAAAGAACATACATCAAACTCATTCAAACTGTTCCTCACTTAATAGTTCCAATGGCATAAAGGCATAAATATACGAACCGAAGCCGATACGTATTAATTATATACGTTGCTCAGATCATCGTTGGACCATGTAAGCTCTCTTCCCAGGGAATTAGATATTTCCGTAGTACCAAAACAACAGATTACAATGGATTTGTTGACATTTGTGATGCACTTAGAATGTGATGGGAACATAAGGAGCACACATCAAACTCATTCAAATGGATTTGTTGACATTTGTGATGCACTTAGAATTAGGTGATGGGAACATAAGGATGGGAACATAAGGACATCAAACTCATTCAAATGGTCTCCATAAGATAGCAGCAATGGCATAAACGCATAAATATACGAACCAAAGCCGATACGTATTAAATATGTTGTTGAGTTCATTGTTAGACCATTTTAGCTCTCTTCCCAGGGAATTAGATACTTCCGTATTACCAAAACAACAGATTACAATGGATTTGTTGACATTTGTGATGCACTTAGAATATGCTGGGAACATAAGGAACATACATCAAACTCATTCAAATGGTCTCCATAAGATAGCAGCAATGGCATAAACGCATAAATATACGAACCAAAGCCGATACGTATTAAATACGTTGCTGAGTTCATCGTTTGACCATGTAAGCTCTCTTCCCAGGGAATTAGATTTTTCTGTGTTACCAAAACAGCAGATTACAATGGATTTGTTGACATTTGTGATGCACTTAGAATATGATGGGAACATAAGGAACATACATCAAACTCATTCAAACTGTTCCTCACTTAATAGTTCCAATGACATAAACGCATAAATATAAGAACCGAAGCCGGTACGCATTAATTATATACGTTGCTGAGTTCATCATTTGACCATGTAAGCTCTCTTCCCAGGGAATTAGATATTTCCGTAAACAGCGCGGACATCGCCATGCAACATGATGGTTTGATTCATGATCAACTCAGCACATCTTTACAAGGTTTATATTCTATGTGCATCGTCTGTGGATATGCACTTAGAATATTATTTTCACCCAGGAAAAATCATGTAACGATTAGACGTTATCGAAAATAATAATAAATAATATTCTAAGTGCTAGCCGGTTACTATATATATATAATATATATTTTTGTTGGAGATGATCTTCCCAATATTTGGTGTTGATTCAACGGGTGAATCAATGAGATTGTCGACATGGATTCCATATCTATCATGATAATAGCTGGGATTAAGGTAAACCCACCAAATATGTTTGGGATCGTGTGGGTTTATTAAGGGTTTCTTGACCACCAAGAACCGCAAATAAATAAGAGCCAATCTTAACCATCATTTGTTGGGGGGGTCACGTTTGGGGGGTTGGTTGAAGACACTTGGTTATTCAACCGTCGGATTTCACCAACAAGTGATTTTGATAATTTTTAATCCACAAGAACTACCAGCAGTTAGTAATCAAACAAGAACAGTTGGGAAGTAGCCCCCACATGTTGGGTCCACGTAAGGCACCGTTAATCCCAATCTGTTGCCTTAAGACCTTAAATGGCACGATAATTACGTGCATTCTACGTACCTGAACGGAGGAGTTGAGGAGTTGGAACATATTTATCATAAGAAAAAATAACAAAAACAAAGGAAACACATCCAGTGGTTAAATAGCTGGAGGGGAGATGCAAACACAGGTTGGTTTGGGGTTTCGTGGTCATTTTTGGACGGGACAAAAACCACCAGGATACAAATGTTTGAGCAGTGAAAGATACGCCGGCGGATGATTGGTTCCACTGATGGCAGATGATGATCAGAGGTTCATAGAGGTTCCACTAAAGTCACTATTTCATTGTAGATGGGAATGATCATCATCCATGAACATCCATGAACATCCATGAACTGGAATGGACATATTTCTGGTGATGAACCGCCTTTCTAATTTGAAGATTCGTTGTACCCAGATCCCCATATGAAATCGGCCGATGACGCCCTCCAAGCGCAAAAAAGGATGGCGACACGTTGAATAACGAGCTGGATGATGAAAACGATGCTGAAGGCGCTCCGGGTGAATCATGATGGTTACCAAACGGAACCAAAGATGGGACCAAACATCAGCCCGGTCGTTGGATGGGACATGCATTTCACAACTCATGACCATGAGCTTGATGAAAGGCATTCGTTTTTTTTTAAACTACCTGCACGGGCAGCTTTAGGCTGATACTTCGTGCACAATACATTTCCAGACGATCAATATTCAGCAACTGCCGTGGCTCGCTCATGGGTGATGTTGATGTGATATCTCAACCCTCAAGCACCTACAAGATGGGGGTATACTCTTCCAATGTCCTCCACGAAGAATTGTATAATTACGATCTTTGATTTTGGTGATATTTGGTGTGTGTGTGTGTGTGAACCAACATCCATTAACCAGCTATCTTAGGATGCCATCCGGGTCCCAGCTTGTTTTGACTTATCGTCAAATCATGAACATCATCTATTTTTTTGCGTAACAGACATTAACAGACATCAATAAACAGTACCATTTGGTTGTTTAACATAGCCATGGAAGCCATGGCCCACAGAAATAGATGGTTTACCGGTTTACGAATTAAAAATGGTGGATCTTTCCATGGCTATGTTAAATAGCCAGATGGTACTTTAACATCAAATAGACATTATTTGTGGTGATTGACCTTGTTCAGTAAGTCCATGTAAGTCCTTAATTCTTGGGTTATCCCATCTACAAATGGGTGAACCAACTATGGTTACAGGATGGTGCCGCCCAGTTATGTTTGTTGGTTTATAAACCACATTAACTAGTTCGTTATATCTACCATAACCTTAAATCATAGAATTCAGCCACTTATAGGGTATGTAGATAAACCATACTATAGTATACTAATATAGTTATAACGTTATAACTACCATAATTACTTATATCATGAACCATTAACAGTTAGTTGGCTTAACCATTAACTACAAGGGAAGATGTAACTTATAACCATATAAACTGAACGCAACAACGACCCGGGGCCTCATCCTGAACCATGCTGGTGCGAAGGTGTTGGTAGCTGGCCATGGCCCAGTGGTCAGGAGGCCGGCGGTCCACAATGGATCTGCGAGACCATATGGGGAGATCATATTACCCTTTGGTAATTTAACGTAGCTATGGAAAATCACCATTTTTAATGGGTAAACCATCTATAAATGGGCCATTTTCCATAGCTACGTTAAATTACCAGAGGGTAAATCCCATTAAACCATAGGAAAACCATAGGAAAACCAAAATAAAAGTACTGTAGGGTTATATAAATATCCTGGTTGCTGGTTTGGAACATGGCTTTTATTTTCCATAATATATGGGATAATCATCCCAACCGACTTTCATATTTTTCAGAGGGGTAGGTCAACCACCATCCAGAATATCATACAAAACCTTAGACATTGGGGGGATATCCCCTGAATTTTTAGCCCTTACATAGCCCTTTCCAATTTTGCCTGAAATGGCCACTGATCATGACGGGGTATGGGAAATGATGGGCCTACCCTCTAGGGGACTCACAGTTTGCTATGGAAAATCACGGTAACAGCAGTAAATCAACTACGAAAGGGATGTTGCCAACATTTAGTGGGATATTTTGAGGGAATGAACCATCATGGCGCCAACCACACATGATAAACGCGTATGTTGCTTTAAGTGGTTTAGTCGGATTGTTAAATGCACATTGCAAATAAGAGTTGCGATAACAAAATATAGCAAACATGAGTTGATTTGACCAGATGCTCCATGTATGGAATATTTAACTACATAACTGGGTCTTTTTTGGGGTAAATGTTGGTAAATATTCCATACATGGAGCATATGGGTTGTATCAGTGGCTAACTGTCAAACACAGGGGATGTTTCCAACAATGGATAGATCCGCTAGGAGCTACTCGCGGCTAAGGAGCCAACTGTTTATCGATGTGCCAATGGAGCCAAGGAGCGAATGAAAGGGTTGCCCAACTCTATCTGGTTGGTGGTTTCAAACATGTTTTATTTTCCATCATATATGGGATGTCATCCTTCCCATTGACCCATTGACTAATCATATTTTTCAGAGGGATTGAAACCACCAACCAGATATAAAGATAGGTTCATAGCTTTTCTATTTTGGTTGGGATGCTATAATGATTTATAATGTAATGTTGATATCAACTGATGGACTGATTTGCATCAGATATGAAATTAGATGAACCTTGGGGATATTGTTCGTTGGGCTCTGGGCTGATTCCTAATACCCTTTTGACAACAAGTAAACCATTCCCAATTCCCCTTTGGTAAACTTACAAAAAACTATGGAAAATCACAAGTTTTAATGGGTAAATCAACTATTTCTATGGCCATTTTCAATAGCTCTGGTCTTCTTGCAACATTGGTATTCCCCAAGTGAGCTACAGAGCTTTTTTGGTGTCCCAGGATTTGCTCTTTTGCCATGGCCATGATTCCTGGAAGGTGCGGTTTTCATTTTTAAGTGCTGCATATTAAAAAATGCATGATGCAAAAATACTGTTAATCATATACGACATGTTAGGCTTTTACATTACATGGCATGTTGAAAGCTATCCCATATTACATATTTACCAGCCAACATTGATCCGAAGAAACACCCAAGAGAAGGTAACATACAACATCTGGAGATATATGGAGCGTATTGCAGTTTCATGTCGTTTCCAAATCTTTCCGATGAATGGCCCTGAATGACCAACGGTAGCTGCAGGTGCAAGCAGCAAAACCAAAACCTTTGCTGAAGCGAAGCAAGCGCGAATCCATTTTGGCACCTGGAGCCGGGGCCCTTGGGGCCTTTGGTAAAGCGGTGCTCGGATAGGGAGCTTGTTTTTAACGTAGCATGTGGATAAAACACGGTATATTAGACGTACATGTTGCGTGGCAATGTGCTCCGAAACCTAGGTAAAATATGGTAAAAATGATGTAAAATTGCAATTTAAACATGCCACCATTGATTACTGCCTGATTTGTTGGGGATTAAGAGATCAAGATAACCCATGACTATAATAATCAGGGATGTATATAGCGTCAAGCTCCGCATTTACAAACCCAAATTTATGTTTTCAATATGTGTCAAATAAAATGCTACAGGGTTTCCAGAAATGGCGGTATTTATACATTGTTCTTGAAAGTGGACGAAAGTGGAGCCACCCCATGAAACCATGGGGTTGTTGTGAACCCTGGATAAAGCGTTTTCCAAGAAGACTGACCTCAGTTGGTTTGACACGGCGGAGCTTAGGCCCAATGGCATGTCAAAGCCACATATCATATACCGATATTCCATTATTCTGTTAACAATTACAATGTGGGGCCCCCAGTTATAAGTTGGTTTATAAGCCCCAGTAACTATACGTAGTTATAAGTACCATAAACCATAGTTATTGGAGTTAAAAACCAACTTAGCTATCTTGAGGGCCTCACATTGTAGGATTCATGGGATGATCCACCCAGTAATATAGTTCCATTTATTTCATCCAAATGTTAAAAAAGGGATATTCCCTCTGGTAAACTAACAAAAAACTATGGAAAGATCCACCATGCTATTAATGGGTAAATCAACTATTTCGACTTTGCCATGTTCAATAGCTATGTTAGTTTACCAGAGAGTATACGATATAGTGATATAGTATGTACAATATGTGGAGATATGGTCTATTGAGTTGCCACTTTAGCTGCTTAGGATTGTTGGGTATATCCTCACAAGGGCCCCTCCCATCAAGAACTTGCAGGGTGCTCACTACAATGTTGTGCTCAGAAATGTGAGTTGACAACCCCTAAATTATATCACTATGGACATATTGAACTGTAAACCCTTATGTTACTCGGGCACCCGCTTGGAAGTGCGGTTCCAATTAAAAGTGGATATACAACCATAGTCATCATAGATGTCCTTTTCCCATTGGTTGGTTGATTAATAGAGGGGTTTGAAGAAACCCCTTTAACAACAGGGAAATGATGATAAATGGTATACCAAACCGGCCCCTCTATTGTTACCAAAAGATAAAAGGACATTATTGATAATTGGTCATAGTCCATAGTTATAGGGCTTATATTCCACCCCCTTTGTGGCTGAGGCTGACATGTTCGCACATTCGCCTTCGACCGCCTCGATGCACGCAGGACTTCCGCGAAGCCATATGGAACGGTAAGCCATGGTTGGAAGATATTTGGTTCAATGAGGGAATGATTTTTTGTCACCTTTGATTGGTTCATGTCCCATGACGGATCCGGCTGGTGCTGGTATATATGCTAACATAAAGGGGGTATATTGATGGGATCCATGGCACACCATATATAGCAGCACCATGGATCCTATGGGTGTTGGTTCACTGAAGGTCGAATGACTTGGATGACCAGTTTTATAGTTCAATTCTAAGTCGTCATCCATGACCTGGATGATGCGGGGTGGCATTTTAGGACACCCCCACATGGATGTGTGTTATTGATGGAGTTTAGTAATATATCCATATACCCTCCGGTAAATAAACATAGACCCCGAAAATCACATTTTTTTAATGGAAACTAGTCTTCCAACCCCTATCTGCCAGGGTCTATGTTAATTTACCAGAGGGTATCCATATATATATATATATATATATATCCCATGATCTTCCAAAAATCATCAAATGTCAGTAACGCTATTTTATTCACCACCGCACCACCCATATATTCATTGATGGTTTATACCAACCATGGTAAGTTTTGGGATGGTTCACGATTGCTGTGTCCCAACATGAATCCTACCAACGGAGATCTAAAAATCTAAAGTTTCTATAGGAAAAACCTGTTACTAATGGAAAGGAGTTTTGACATTTGCGTTTACATTGTACCCGAATTTCTTCATGTACACATCGCTCCGGCCTTTTCAACAAGTTGTTTTTTGTTCCGGCGAAAAAAGTGGAATTCCCAAGCCAAGTTCTTGGGGAAATTGATATACCCTCTGGTAAACTAACATAACTATTGACAATCACCATTTTTAATGGGTAAATCCACTATTTCAGTGGGCCATTTTCAATAGCTTTTTGTATCTTTACCAGAGGGTATAACATCTCCCCTATGGGGATGGTCTACACCACCTATTTCTGGTAAGCCATTGTGGCTGGTTCATTCTTGTGTTTGGAGCATTATAGCCATGCAAATCCTGACTTCTTGGATGTCAGGACTGTCATGGCATGCGTTGATGGTCACCATGTTTGTTGCGCAATTCCACTTCTAAATTGTTATAATATGTTATAATGATAGGGCCCTATTATGGAAAACTGGGGCTTTAATCATTGATCCAGGGTTGACAATAAAAGGGCAGGCGAAAGACATCACCCTTACCCTGGTCGCCAGTACTGAAGAAGCGAACCTTTTCCTCCTCCATGGTCAACAGGGCGCAGGCAGGTGGGGGTTGGAGTCGGTCAAAAAGAAAGACCTCCTGGGCCTTCCAATACGGGTCATTCTTTAAGAATCTATCGCTGTCACCAAGCTTCCACAATTTTCCAAGCAGTCACCAAATTCAATGGCTTTTGGGGCTTCCACTGTTTTTGTTCTTCATTCGGTGCATATATCGGCAAGTTTCACCATGGTCTTGAAATGTCTTGAGTCTTCCTCTTACAACCATCGGTTTTCATGAAACTAAGCCGTGAATTTAGTTTTTCCGAAGTCCTTTTGGCTGTCGGATGCCGTGGCCCTTTGCACAGAGTCCTCCCGGATCTATGTCGAACACTCCCACTCGACTTAGCCGGAGCTTGCAAGTATCAATGATTCAGTATTTGTTACTACTGGATGGACTCAACTGATTCAACCTTCTGTTTTCTCTAATTTTGTGCAGTATATATTTGATATAAGAATCTTGAACTTTGCAGCCCAAACTGAATGAACTTGGCAGTAACTTTGCTGATCAAACAAACTGGTCTCATTCCCCATGGATCATGGGCAGTGTACCCCACATGCAGAAAAGATCAACCATAAATGCAGCATCTGGAATGTGAAATATATTGAAATATTACTTAAGTTACATCTTGTTACAAATAAAATCACCTAAAATCACTGGTTGGTGGTTTGGAACATGGCTTTTATTTTTCCATTCAGTTGGGAATGTCATCATCCCAACTGACCAAATCATATTTTTCAGAGGGTTGAAACTCAACCACCAACCAGATCATGTCAAATCATACCATCAATTACCTTCTGGTAATTTAACATATATAGCTATTAACAATCACCATTTTTAATAGGTAAACCATCTATTTCTATGGGCCATTTTCATAGCAAACTGTTAGTTTACCAGAAGGTATCAAACCCCACGTGGGGCTTCTTGCCGAGGAATCCAACATCCCATTGCTTCGCGTGGTCCTCGTCAAACTCGTTTCTTGGCCCCCGGCCTAGGCAATGACTCAAACATGGCGAGCTGGGAAAATTGCCGAAAACTGTGGAAAAATACGAGGCAACTGGAGAAAACTAAGGGAACATATGGAAGATGTCATCCCTAATGATCTATCAATGGAGGTTTCAATGCGGCAATTCCTTTACAAAACTGCAATCTATATGGGAAAATCATCCTAAAAAATGGAGGTGTTCCAGGCATAAACCCAAATCTGCGATTGGTTGCCCCAAAGAATTCGGGTATAGGTGACCTCACAGCGATGGAAGAGAGAGAGAGAGAGAGAGAATCTAATGGTTTGTTATGGTTTGTTTATATTTGGTTGGTGGTTTGGAACATGAAATTTATGACTTTCCATTAAGTTGGGAATGTCATCATCCCAACTGACCAACTCATATTTTTCAGAGGGGTTCAAACCATCAACCAGATATAATTGTCCTTCTTCAAATGCTATAGGCTATAGGTTTATACAAAATTTCAGGGTGCATCCTGGACCTTAACGCGAGACTTTGATACCAAAGATGCAGCACTTAGGATGATTCATCCCAAACATGCGGGGATTCTACATGTTTTTTTCAACATCATTCCCCAATCTAATCATATAATTCTAAAGGCAACATTCCCATATTCAGAAAATCTTCGCATACCATGTTTTCATCGTACTCCAGACCTGGGTTTTGATATGTTACTTTGATAGGCATTTCAGCTCAATCTGGAGGGAACAGTTGGCCCACGGCGAATCCATTGAATGCCCCTCCGCAGCTTTCTATCCCCTGTGTCGTTCCAAAGGAGCTGTGGACGTTGAATGAATTGAAGGCTGCTTTGATAAGGAAGTTTCCTCATTTGTCTACAGAAGAAGGACAGGGTTGTCAAAGGTAACGTTTTTAAAGGTTGGCTAAGTAAAAATTAGCAAGTTTCTTCCCCGGGACCTCACCCAAGGTGAACTTGGAAAAATAGAACCCACTGGTGTGCCCCTGGAAGTTTGGGCCGGCTTTGGGATTGGATTTTTGGTTCTGGCCGCGAAATTTCCCTATGTGGTCTCTATACCAGCCACGCATACTCGGAATTCTTCGCATTCCACAAATTCTTCGCACTCCACATGGGACATCGCACTCCACAGCTAGGGACGCGCACATACTATAAAATCCACGCACTCTGCAAGATCTTCGCACTCCATAAAATCTTCGTACTCGGTAATTTTTCGTTTTTTTCGTTTTTCTTTTTTTTTTTTTCGTTTTTTTTTTGGGCTAAAATCGCCTGGAATCACGTTTTCTGGAATATGGGAAAGGTAGCGGTTTTTCGTGAGACGTCTGTAGTTGCACATACTATCGCATTCCAGGCAATTTTGGCCAAAAAAAAAAAACTCAGCAGGGTGAAATGTGATAATTTTCTGGTATATGATGGAAAAAACTGGTGTTGGATTCATGGGGAAGGTCGAAGGGGGCCACGCATACTGTTTTATTTTCGCATTCCAGAAAATTAGCGCACTCCAGGGGTGGCATCGTACTCTATCGGTGGAATTATTTTGCACGGAAGAAAACAGGATCGTCGATGATTTGTGTTCCCAGATCCTGTTGTGCAGAGCTCTTTGCGGGGCCACAAAGATGTCAAGAAAGATGGGGATGGCGCTGCTGATGAAAGGCCAGCCAAGCGTGCCAGAACATAAGCTTAAAGCTTATGAATTGGGTTTTGGGATCGTGAAAAGTGTAGATGACAAATTTCCATAAGAACATTATTAATCCATTTTTGGAAAGCTCAACATTTTTAATTATGACATTGCCAGAAATTGTTGAAAGTAAGGATCTTCTTTGGGGAAGAACATGTGCAGTCGACAACGTACGTGCCAGAAGAAAAGGAATACTTGGCAAACTGTATGAAATACAAATTTCACCTGGAAGGGGTCTTCGCAATTCCCTGAAATTTCCCAGCTATTTTGGCATGGAATATGTTCGGCCCTGGAATATGGGCAAGAAATTGCTAGAATAATGGTTGGTGAAAGAGGTGCTGTGCTTCTCGACCTGAGGGTTGATGTTTTCTCGACACAGGCCGCCCTTTCAAAAAACCATAATTAGTCGTTACTAGTGTGGGAACTGTAATGATTTTGCGGATCATTTCCATCTGAACAAAGGCCAGTGACGATATATTATATATTGTATATTAGTGCTTGGAATAGTTACCATATCCTTCATATGAAGTTACTTAGCCTTAACTTAACGGCGTCATGTCTTGGTCACTTCGAAGCACCTTTCGCTTGGGACATCGCCATAGGTGGCGCTGAGCAATTGGTTTGCTGAGTTGAAGGTGGGCAGCTGACATCGATAACATCGGAATGGTCGGAAAACCAACCACCAACCACCAACCCCAGATGCAACCCATGGTGCTGGAATATTTAACTACATAACTGGGTCATTTTTTAGGTAAATGTTGGTAAATATTCCAGCACCATGGAACATATGGGAACCATCACCAAGAATCATTAACGGGATATGAATGGAATATGAATGGACTATAATGGGATATTAATTGATAATGAGATGATTTGGGGGTTGTTCTTTGCATGTTTGACATGGCATGGCAGCCATTTTTGCTGCTCCCCAGGTTCCACAGTGGCCCAGGGATTCTTCAGGATCAGACATTCCACTGCCTTATGGTCACATGTGCTTTCAAACATACCCATGACGGATCCGGCTGGTGCTGGTATATATGCTAACATGACTGGGGTATATTGATGGGATCCATGGCACACCATATATACCAGCACCATGGATCCGTCATGGGATATCAAACATATGAATTTGTCCAACAAATTCGGATTTCTAGGCTTTCTAGGTCCATGGAATTCGTGTAGAAAACTCGGTCGCAGAACCACGTGGTTGACTACCGCTGCCATCCAGGTTAAAGCCATAGTTCAATATGTTTCATGGGAAACCTCGCTTTGAGGTATCATTTTTGCGATGTTTGGAAATGCTGTAGCTGAATTGACCAGCATTTTGCATACAGATTGGTGCAGGCATGGCGGCAGATTTGTAGCATCCACTTGCACCCAGGAGCCTGAGAGGAAGTGGTGCTTCGCACGGATCGCCAGGGCCCAAGTTTTGAACCGGACGAATCCGTAACGGTCGTGCTGTTCGTTGATGGTGACTGGTAGGACATTCGCTGTGAATGCAAACTCCAAACATGAATAAGCATGGGTAGACTTAATATTAAGGTATACCCCATACATTTTCCAAATTTGTAACACATCGCTTTGGGAGACGTGAATGATTTTACGATGAAGTGTGGAAAATCCCAAGTGATCCAACTGACAGCCATCCATCTCCGATGGAATGATGGTCATTTTTCATGGGGGTTATCCCAAAAGGCTCTGAAAATTGAGCTTGGGGAATCTGCATTTACTCATTTGTCATCCGAAATACTAATAATATCAATATATAATGTATATCTAATATCAATATCAATAATATATACTGATATTATATGTATTGTTGATATTTATACATATAATATCAATATTAATCGCCATCATACACCAATATATTCCCATGATACCATTATATTATATTATATTATGCCACCCATTTTTTGTTGGTTAAAGCCCAATATGCGAATGCATTTGGGGATGATATTGTTGATTCCTCACCGGGTCATGTGGATCATGTGGCTGCTATTTGTGTTTTTTTTCTTGATGTTAAGGAGATTGATCTCAACTATAGCAGCCTCCAAAACAATAGGAACACAATGGAAAGCAACTTGCGCCTGTTTTAGTCAAACTTTACTTTTCGTTGTTGGTTTGCTAAAACAACCATTCCAAATTCTACATCTGGAAGATTGACCTAGAAGATGAAACTGGAAGATGTAAGAACAGTAGCATATGCATTGAAAATCATTGAAACATGTTAAGTTCCAAAACAGACCTACAGGCTACGGGCGGTATCAATCCTAATTTCTCACGGCAGCATCGCCGTCGCATCGCCAACCCAGATCGATGGAAGCAAATTCTCGACCCTGTGTTTGCTGGTGATCTTAGCCAACGCCCGATGGCTTAAAAAGTGCCGGGGGTGGCGAAAGCCGCAGCCAGGAAGGTCATGATTCAATGGGGAGGCAGCTACCAAGACTTTTCCCAAGCATATTGGACAAATATGGACAAATAACTGACATGGTTTTTTCAACACAGCACATTGTCAGTTATTTGTCCGATTTGTCAGTTATTGTCATTGTTATGGACAAATAACTGACTTGTTCACAATGGAAACATTGGCAGGTTTTTTCGAGCAAACTAGATGTGATGTGTTGACCTGTTTGAGTCTGATCCTGTGCAGTGACTCCATTTTTGGCGGGAATGTTTCAGGGCCGAAAGAAGTTTGTGACAGGCGTCAGGCTGCAAAAATAACTGGTTGGTGGTTTAAAACATGGCTTTCCATATATTGGGAATAATCAAACCACCAACCAGATAAAGAGTGCTGAAAAGCATTTCTTGGGGTTTACTTGGATGACAAATCCAGCTGGCAACGGTTTGACAAGTATACAGTATATATGTTCGATGTTGTAACCTGGACTCAAGGTAAAACTGGAGGATGAGGCAACCTAAGTGCAGAGATGCGGGTACCATAGGGTACCTCATATCGCTAGGTCCAATGGCTTTCTGCCCCCAAAAAAACATCGGCAACTTGGAGAAAGCGTGGCTTTTCTAAGGCCATGGAGGCTATGGAGTCCATGGGTCCTGAAATCTTTGGAATGTCTCCTCACCTGGTCACCTTGAGTTTTTTTGAGCCCTTTGAAAACACATTTCAAGAACCATTGCTGTGGTCGCAGAGGTCCATGGAGTCCATGGTTTGAGCATGTTTGAGCAACACAGAGATCCATCCCCCTGAGCGTAAATTCCTGTGCAGTTGTGCTGCATGAGTTATTTTAATCATTTGATATTAGGGCATTCCTACCGTACCTGGTTTTGTTTCAGAAAATATGGAGCCCGTTCCTTTCCGTGGTCGAGAATCTCATATTGCCATTTTTGACAAATTGTTATAAATTTGGATGCTAAATTCCCCCTCCATTTCCCACCATAAACTAAACAAATGTGATGGCCCCCCAGACACTTCGGCCAAGCGATTTGAATGTGTTTGTTTAAACATTGCACTCCCAAAATCCACTGGCTGGTCGCTACTGTATTTGTCTAAATAAAATTGGCATTTGGGCGGGGTGCACCACATTTCCCGACATTTGAAAAGACACACGAGCCCAGCTGCCAGCATTGCTGCCAGCTGCTGAGGCCATTTTGATCATCATCGTCTCAGATTATGAAATCCAACATTTGGGTGAAGCGATACCAGAAGATTGGGCTCCTTGACTCAGGGAGTTGCGGTCGCCAAGCTGTGGCACATGGCGGGGAAGTAGAAAACAATGACTCTAGCTTGGTGAAGGATGTCGTGAAGTACTACAATGACTATATTCAGACGGGTGCTTCATTCCATAATCAGATCATTCGGAACTAGTTATCAGACAGCTGTACCTTACTCGCATGTGCATCACTTCTGCTTCTGCCCAGAGTTGTTGTTTTTTTTTTGCCGTGTGATTGTGCATCCTGCGAAGCTGACCAATGGCAGAGTTTTTCGTCATCTTTGGGATTCATGTGGAATTTCTATCCACCAAATGTATCCAAATGTGTCCAAATGTTCATTTGTCAGAGATGTCCTCATTTTCAGTTGCTGCACCAAGCCGGTTGGCCAAAGTCTCGCGCCGCACTTAGGAGATTTTGGAGCTCTCCCTCACGATTTTCTATGTGCGGGGGCATGGTTCATGAGTGATTTAGCACTTTAGTGAGGATCCATTTGCGCTATTTATTGGGGCTTATTAACAATCAATATGCAATATGTTATGATCGCCGATAATTGGCACTTGATAGTTGGTCTAGGAGTCTAGGATTATACTAGTCGATGTGATTCAGAAAATCAGCATCCATCCCCTATCCAGCAAGCAGTATATAATCACAGACTTTGCTGAAGAAACCAACCATGGCAAGGCAATATCTGTATCTGCATGTTCGTCAAAAAATCATAAGATATAAAGTAATGCAATTTTAACTTATTAATATTCTCGAGTCGGGTGACATTCTTTCTCTGGAGGATACAACTCATGTGTATCTCCCCAAGTTATTATAGCCCACAAGTCATTTGGCTTCCCAAACCAGGGGTACTACTACTACTACTACTAGTACTACTACTACTACTACTACTACTACTAGTACTACTACTAGTACTACTACTAGTACTACTAGTACTACTAGTACTACTACTAGTACTACTACTACTACTACTACTACTACTAGTACTAGTACTACTACTACTACTACTACTACTACTATTGCATTTGTATATCCACTTATTACTAGTCCATGATGTTGCTTAGGCACTCATTGTGTACGAGTTGCTGGTTACCCATATGCCTGTTGGGAGAATGAACGACACCAATATTTCCCAAACTTTGATGTTCTTCAGAGCACGGAGTTGTGGGTTTCCCACATAAAATGTTGGGATGTCTTCTGAAGTGAGCATGTGGTTGATGGATAGATGGATAAATAGATGGTTAGATAGATAGTTAGATAGATATATTTACTGTATATATATTTACACATGCAACATAAGAATACATAACATATATTATCATATGTCATCATATTAATAGATTCATCAACTTTTTTGCACTCTGGTAGTGACGAACTTGAAGCTAGCCTTCGTCCGGCCAAGGGCTGCGAGTTGCTATTGAAGATCATCGTGCATCGCTTGTGCCCCTGCTAGGACCGCAAACGGAAGGGAAGAAATAGAAGTGACGAGTGACGACTACGTTTTCGCTTACCAGAACACCGTGTATAACAACACATCATAACACCATTGGCATTCTTCAAGATGTTGAGCTTTGTCCACCAAACTTTCATCGAGACATTTGAGGCTGGGTCCCGGCTGGGTCAACACCTATGGGATCCACCCAAAGCCACAAACGAATGAGCTCAACAACCGCCCCAGTGGCCAGAATAGGTGGCTTTGGTTTAAGTTTTTGAACCGATTCATTTCATCAATGGCCATTTCAGGATCCTAGATTGGAGGTACCTACCATATATTTTTGGCCTATCTTTTAGGCCTAAATTTCAGGGAATTCCCATTGATTTTAGTCATCCTCTCTGGGGATGACCAAATCATGGCTCTCCCAGGTACTTCTTTGTCAACGAAGAGTGGCGTCACTGGACTCGACCAGAGAAATTCATCGATTCCGAAGGGTCCCCCATGTTCCAAAGGGTCACCAAGGCGGGCCACCCAAGGCGGGCCACCATCAGTTATAAGGTGTTTTATAAACCCCATTAACTACAGTTACATACACACACACATATATATATATATTCATATACAGTGTAGTTTTAAGTATAGTCTTATATGTATATTTCCCACAAACCAGCACTATTGGAGTTAAAATGTTATAAAGGATGCAACATGGGGGCCCACCTTGTCCAACCATGCAGCAGGTTCCATGATTTTTTTTTGGGATATCATGTGGTATATAAAAAGCCCAAACCCATCCACCCACAAGCTTACAACTCATGGAACAACTAGAGGTACATAACGAAAATTCATGACTCTTGAAATTTGGCAAACTAACCAAAGCCCATTCCTTAGGGTCGTTTACCAAAGTTAGTCAACATCAGTCAACGAAACCCATCGTCCAAGGAATTAGAGACAGTGTCAGTGGTGAGTTGCTCATCAAACTATATAGTGGGTAAGCGGCTCACAGAATGCTGCCTGTTTTTCCAACCGTGGCGAGTTCATTTTGCGTGTGTTTTGTCAAGGAATTGTGTCTGGGTCTTTTTTTTTGACTCCATTAAATCCTGCGACAAACTACTTTTTTTTTTTTGACTTTCTTTGTCAGCCTTCCATGTTTTTTTTTCACATGCGTTTCAGGACTTGAGTCAAATTTCAGCGTAGCATCAAGAGCGTGCTGGAAGGTACTTGAAGAAGTGAAGAGCGAAGCAACAATAGTGTGTTGGAAGGTACGCGAAGAAGTGAAGCGCGTAGCATCAAGAGCGTGTTGGAAGGTACGTGAAGAAGAGAAGAGTGTTGCAGCAAGAGCGTGTTATAAGCAGTGTGAACAGACGTTATTACCCACCCACCCAACCCAACCCCACCCCACAGGCAAGCCGACATGAATTGGCTAATCTATCGGGGGGAGATTCCCAGTATTGACCGGCATACCGGAAGATATTCATTGAAAACGACCCAGATGTAGATGATTTACTCTCTGGTAATTTAACGTAGCTATGGAAAATCACCATGTTTGATGGGAAAATCAACTATTAATGGCCATTTTCAATAGCTATGTTAGTTTACCAGAGGGTACGTATTATTCCCATGGCAATTTTCCATCCCATGGCCTGTTCGATTACCAGATGGTTTTTCCCATCGCCACCACCCCCCGGCCAAAGTCCCTGAGACTTATATTCAATGGCCATTTCAGGAACCGATTGATTGGAGGTACCTATAAGGGCTATGTAAGGGAATATCCCCACAAAATATGGCCTTATATGGTACAGTACCTCCATTTTAGAATCCTGGAATTCCCATTGATATATTGTCATATATGTTCCTATTTGTTGATAGTATATCCTGGTCATCTATGGTTATCCAGATATCCATCATTCATGTTCACTATTAAAATGGCTATACTGCTATACCGTTTCATTTTTGCATCTACCAATTTCAGATACCACGCCCAAAATATCAAGTATCACAAGTTGATTCGGTATCTCAAATGATTTCCCTTATTATAAATTGAAATTCTCAGCTCATACCCCAATGATTGTTCATGTATAGTTGAATCTCATGACTTAGTATTGAAACCTATGGTGACTTGAGGATCCCCCGTTGTAAGAAACCCCCATATATCAATGTTCCAATGCAGCATCCTCCATTTCTTAGCTCATATCCCAATGATTTTTAAATATGTTTAATGTTTAGTTGAATCTAATCTCATCCCTTTTTCTCCCTGCTGCTCTTTCTCAACAAGACTCCAGCGTTCCAATGCTTCCTCCACTGAGTTATTTCCGTTCAATTTCTTCTCAGCTCATATCCCAGTGGTTTCATCTGGTTGGTGGTTTGGAACATGAATTTTATAGTCCATTTCATATATGGGATGTCATCCTTCCCATTGACGAACTCATATTTTTCAAGATGGTTATACAAAACCACCAACTAGTTGAAAATCAGCTCATATCCCAGTGATTTTAATGGTTTTTCATAGCTTGAATCAAGCATGTTTTTTTGACGACCACTGAGTCATATTTTACAAGATGGTTATTGCACCACCAACTAGTACCATAAATTGGTTGAATCCCCATGTGTTTGTTTTTTTTTAAATGACATTTTACGAGCACTGCGGCTCATATCCCAGTGATTTTAATGGTTTTTCATAGCTTGAATCAACCATGGATTTTTGACCATTTACGACCACTGAGGCTGGAACATCTTCGATTTTTTCTTAGTGGTCTTCTCCTTCAGCGAGGTCGCCATCTCCCGGATGTTGGTGATGAACCAACCTGGGCCCGAAAGCTCCGCCAGCCTCAACGTGGGCCCGGGACTCGGGAGCTCCAGGGGGTGAACGACGGTGGCCTTTAAAGAAAGCAACGGCTGAAGGTGACCAAAGAAGTGTAGGGTTAGTACCCTCTGGTTATGTCAAACATAGCTATTGAACATGACCATAGAAATAGTGGATTTTCCCATTGAAAATGGTGATTTTCCATAGCAAACTGTTAGTTTACCAGAGGGTAAGGGTCAATGATGGCTGGGGATTTTACCAACCTGGGGATTTGATGTTGATGTTTTATGCTTGTGTGTACAACAATGTGGCCCCACTCCAATCATAAATTAGCGTACAACCACACATAAATAAATGAATTAATACATGAATGAATAAATAAATGAATAAATTAATTAAATAAATAGATACACACACACATATATATATATATCATATATACACATGTTTTATAATGTTTTACACACTTGTGCTATAAACCCTTGTCAAACTAGTTATAAACCAACTTGATATCCTGGGCCCCACAATTCTAGGGTGTGAACTTAAACATCAACAAGTAGAAATATAAAATCAACAACTAACTGGGTCAACCAACTGGACGGGTTAAATGAACTGTAGTTCCATGGAACTGGAAAAAATGGAGAATTCTCAGGGATTACGTTGGGTAAATTATAACGACCTCACTGCGACCTCACTGGAATCATGGTTAATAAGGGAAATTATCCCCAAATGGCCTTAATTCAGGTTGGTGAAATATTATAATTTACCCAGATTACTGGAATAGGAGAAATGGATAAGAACTAAAGATCTAAGATCAAAGCCTTTTGCACGGTGTCTCAGATCGACCATGCAGTTATGAATGTGCTAAGCCCAACAGCTAGAAGTGATTTTTGTTCCCGGTCATGGGTTTCAACCACTGATTCCAGGAATAATGAGCACACATGTTTCCATTGTGAGAGCAACTGGCACCAAACACAATCATGCCACTCTTTCAGAAATTATTGTGCCAGTAACCCTCCAAGGACTGGTTTTGGCAAAGGGGGTGATCTTGGTTTGTTCAATGGGTTTAGTTCTTTTGCCGCCATTTAGATGGTGGAAACTGGGCCCTGCAATTTCCACCACTTGGGTGAAGGCATCTATAATCTACCTCACCCAAAAAATTACCCAGAGAAAACCCTTGGAGTTTCAACCAGTTCCATCCAATTTCCCATCCATGTTCCATCCATTTCCTGCGTGTTTCCTACGTGTTTCCATCCATGTTTCCTTGGGAAGAAAAAACAATGGGAAATGTGACATTCGCCGAGGCTTCTTGCGACTTTTGAGGCTCACCAAGTTGGCCAAGGCGCCAAAGAATGGTGTTTTTTTGGTAGGAAAACCTTCAATTTTTAGTGGGGAAACCCATGATTTTTTAAAGGATTAAGGAAAATCATGGAAACCCATCATTTTTATGTTTTTTTAAATAGGACGACCATGGAAAACCATGATTTTAGGACCACCCCTAGATTGAATCCGTAAAGATAGCATGGTTCTTGTAATTAGGATAACCATTGGCTTGCGTGTGCCTGATTTGAAGAACCACCCGCAGATGTTGGCAGTAGTGAGCCGCCTAGATTGGGCACGGTGCAGATATCCACCAGTTTCAGAAGCCACAGATCAGATCAAGTTGGTTTTATGGAGTTGCAACAGTTGCAGTGTATCCCACATTAGCCCCTGGTATACATCATTAGTTGCATCCCATAAAGTGTTCCATATTAATATATATATATATTATATATAATCATGTCATGTCAGGTCATACCATATCATATCATATTCCATGTGTATATACATATATGCATATATCATATATAAATATTTTACATATATCATATCATGCTACATTCCCATGACTTATCCCCATGGCTTATCCCGAGGTCTTACGCGTCTTTCGGACCCTGAAGTTCTTCACGGAGCTGCACCTTGGATAGGGAACATGCTATGGGTAGGAACGACATGTTACCCGGTAACGGTTACCCGGTAAACTATGGAAGTCACTATGGAAATCTATAGAAAACCACTATTTTTGAACTTTTTTTTGAAGAGGTAAATCATCTACAAACTATTCATTTTCCATAGCTATGTTAGTTTACTGGAGAGTATTGATTCTTTTCCATGTTTATGCCATTGTTATCCACACTTTTCCATGTTTATCTAATGTGATCCATGATGTGAGAATTTCTCTTAGATGACATCTAGGATGATCTACACTTAAGGCCCTTTACGAGTTATAAGTCATTTATAACGCATGTATAACCAGTTTTCACAGTTTATAATTATAATTGGTCAAGGGCCTCAATCACTAATCACTATCATTATCAATCACTATCAATCACTAGTAATCACTATTAACCACTATGAATCACTATTATATAATCACTATTAACCACCATTCATCACTATTAGTCACTATTAATCGCTATTAACCACTACTGATTGGTGGTTTAGAACATTCTTTATTTTTCCATATATAATATATTGGGAATGTCAGCATCCCAACTGACCAAATCATATTTTTCAGAGGGGTAGGTATACCACCAACCATACATAGTATAGAGTATAGAGTATACTTACATATATTTATCACTATTAATCACTATTAACCACTATTAACCGCTATCAATCACTATTTATCACTATTAATCACTATTAACCACTATTAACCACTATCAATCACTATGTTAACCACTATCAATCACTATTAATCCCTATTCTGCAACACTAGGCACTAGGATGACACCCACCTCTCCGGGTCAGCTCCGAGGCGATTGATGATCGATTGCGTTCTGGGCACCGTGGCTATCCACACGTCGGAGATGGGTCTTCCCTGCTGTGCTACACGCCATAATAGATAACGTTGATTAATAGTGATTGATAGTGATTAATGTTGGTTTATAGTGCTTGACATTAATTAGTGTTTTCCTGAGATGGCGATGGAGAGAGAGAATAGTGACTGATAATAGTGCTTTATAGTGATTAATAGTGATCTATAGTGATTATAATGATGATTCATAGTGATTCATACTGATTAGCAGTTGATAGAGATTGATAGAGAGTGATTTTCCTAGTGATTGATCGTGATTCATACTGAGCAAAACAGTAAAAATGGGGATTTAAAGAGAGTGATTTTCCTAGTGATTAATAGTGATTTTCATGAAAACCTTCCAATGTTTTTTCAACCTATCATGCCATATGACTGCCATCCTCCATCACCAGTTTCGATGGTTCCAACCATCCCCGCTGGAAGCGAGAAATCGATGGGTTCTAGATGGAAGAAATAACACATTGGTTCCAATATGTTCCAACATAGATTATATCATATTATATCTATATTATATATACAATGTGGGGCCCCCCAGTGATGTTTGTTGGTTTAGATTCGCCCCAGTAACTAGTTCGTTAGAAGTACCATAAACCATATAGTGACATTGGAGTTATGTGCACCAACTGAACGCTATCTTGGGGACATTGTATATATATATATATTTATTTATTTATGAAAGCAATTACATCATATGATGGCATCCTTTCTTTTTTTGGCTTCCGTTCATTTCTCCATGGCTTGCCTGGCTTGTTCACCGCCGAGGATCCTTCATGCAGATCTTTTGGTGTTTAGCCCGGCGCCTACGATTGGGATGATTCTTCTATATGTATCTATATATTTGAGTTGTGAAATATCAAGATGATTTGGGAAATTATAGGAATGCACATAAATAAATATATATGAATAATTTTATTTGTGAATGTATCTAGGGGAGAGAGAGAGAGAGAGAGAGAAATATATATATATATAGGATAAACTGGTCATCTAAAAGAAGTGCTTAGCCATTTGGCGCAGTCAATAGCTTGTTTTTGTCCAGTCTTACCATTTATCACCATTTCTAGATCCGAAGAGAACAAAAAAAAACACGGGTTTTCCACATCCTCCGCGATAGCGGAGGTGATGATCGTCTTCGTTCTCTACGTCTTCTCCCTACTCATCGTGCAGGGCATTGCGGACTTTCTCCTGACGGTGCTTTCGGCAGAAAGGGAACACCGGGTTTTTGGAGTGCCATGTTTTTCATCACAGATGTCCTCGGTTTTCCCCATGAAAACCAACAAAGCGTGTATTAACCGGTCCCTCTATTGGTCAGGGGTGCCTCGTGCTGCCTCATGTTCAGACATCAACGGACCCATGGCACCCATGGTGTGTAAGTTTCGCTGGAAGCATTGCAGGCCCTATGCTTATAAAGCCGTTTTAACTGGGACAATCCGAGAATGTGTTTAGGGAAGACACTACTTTCGTGTACGTAGATTTTCGCTCTTGTCAATCCTTTAACGAAACGCACTGAGAATAGTTGAATAGTTGGTGTGGATGCGGGACGGGCTCCAATGTGCATGGATTACCATATTCAAATGTTGCACTCAAAAAAGATAGAAACGTAATTCATTGCTAATTATTGTAGATAATGTTGTCAGGTGGTGAAATTCACTCTCTCCGTTTTTCTGGTGTGTGTGTGTGTGCTACTACCATAGTGATTTGACGCGATGAGGAATGGCAACTGAATATGCTGTTTCCATTTGTTGCTTGTAGGTAAGCCACATGTCACATAGCCTTTGGTAGCTATGGTAGCTATGTAGCTATGGATGAACATGGCCTGTTTATAGACGATTGATCCATTCAACATAAATCATTGAGTTGGGTTTGGACATAGGGTAGCCAAAATCCAGTGACAGTGGTTCATCACAATCTTTCCTAGTGCTACTTCTACTTCCGTACGACGAAACAAATACCCGTCCTGCCACGTGGCAGTTGTTCCCAACAGGGCTTCGATTTAGTTGTTGCAAAAAACAACACGTTTAAACCAAAAAATGGGCACACACACACACATGTTTGTGTTTGCATTTGCTCATTGATATAATAATATATATATATATGAATGATTGTAGTGTGTGTGTGTGTTTTGCGTTTTGTTCGATATACACTATAGACTATATATATATGCATATAATCATATATGCACATAATTATTTATATACATGCATTTGTTTGATATGTATATATATATATATATATATGTATATGTTTGTTTATGATATATATATATATATATACACATGTGTGTGTGTGTGTGTGTTGCGTTTGGGTTCATCTGTGGATCTGATCTTCCCAGGAAGGCGCCGACACGGTCTCCGAAGAGACCTTCCAGGGTTTGATGGACCACTTCGGCTCAGTAGGAGAATGGGGAGAACATCGGGATCTTCCCAGGTTTGTATGTATCTCCAGTATATCCCCAGTATATCCCATTTGTTTCTATGAGGATATGGGATATAGTGGGATATATATATATAATGGGGATATAATCTGAGATATAATGCGGTATAACTACGGGAATTTGATGTGTGAGAACGAGACTGTAACCATGTGTTCAGGTCCAAAAATGGCAATTTGAGGTGGGAACATCAGCCGTCTATGGGGACGTGATGGGGATATGTGACTCATGTGGGACATTTGGGGAGGAATTGAATTTGGAAGATCTGGGATGAATATATCCTCTGGTAAACAAACAGTTTGCGATTGAAAATGGCCATAGAAAAAGTGGATTTTCCCATGAAACATGATAAACATGGTGATTTTCCATAATTTTTTTTTGTATGTTTACCAACCAACTTGTTATGTGGGAGTGGCACCTGAAATCGGAGGAAATTTACGTCAAAAAACTAATCTTATGATGACTTTTCAGGGGAATATGATGATAATTTACCCTCTGGTTATTTAACATAGCCATGGTATAGATGCCCCATTTATAGATGGTTTACCTATTAAAAATGGTGATTTTCCATGGCAAACTGTTAGTCATAACCAGAGGGTAAAGACCTATTTTGCTGGATATCGGGCGACTCCGTGGGGATCCGAAGAATGGGAATGATTTCGATGATTCAGCGCTAGAGCATTCGAACACTATGTGCTAAAGCATCAAATCATCCCATGACATTGTTGGAATTGGGACATGTTTCTAGAAAGTATTACTTACTGTAATTCATGAGTGGATTGAGAATTGAATTGGGAACTGGGAGATGGTTCTGTTCCACATGTTTTTTTTAAAATCTGATATCAATATCAGCCTGTAGATTCTCAAACGCTATTCCGGCAACAAGTGATGGCGAGCCCGCGATGGCAAATTCCGAGAGAGGGAAAGAGGGAGACACCGAAGGTACCGAGTTTTTTTTGGTGTGTTGGTGGTTTGGAACATGGCTTTTATTTTCCCATATATTGGGAATGATATTCCCAACTGACCTTCATATTTTTCAGAGGGGTAGGTCAACCACCAACCAATTGATAAACAAACCTCTGTTGATGTTTTTTTTTTGTTGGGTGTTTCTTAATAAACCTCATGGGTTGATGGTGCTTAACTATCAGGCCAAGTGTTTGCAAGGCTGCCCCTGGAGGATGCTCTGGAAATGTCCATGAAACCAACCTGAAGCCCCGAGGAAGGCTGCGGGAAAAGTTTTAATGAAATAATATGCCCATGACGGATCCATGGTGCTGCTATATTATATGGTAACATGGATCCCATCAATATACCCCAGTCATGTTATATACCAGCACCATGGATCCGTCATGGGATGACGAGTTAAGTTCTCATCAATGACCTTCGGGTAATCAGACATGGCTTGGAACATCCACCGTTCATTGGATGTTCCCAGCTAGGTCTCCAAGCTATGACCGATCATTCGTCATGGTGGGGGCCATCCTTAGATTTCCATCTGAAAAATGGGTTTGTCCGGGAATGACCACCATTCGCAATGGATTATCCTCGGGGAAATCGCTATTGGATTTCCACCATTGATGGTCAACTCCACCAACATTTTGGCCAAATTCATGCATACATATACATATTATCTGTGTAAATTATAACAACCTCACTGCGACCTCACTGGAATCATGGTTAATAAGAGGAATCATTCCCAAATGGCCTTAATTCAGCTTAGTGAAATATTATAATTTGCCCAAATATTATCATATTATTATACATGTATATGTACTGTATATCATATGGTTGGTATATCCCATATCAAACATCCCAACAGAATTTTCCCCATTAGATCATGAAATGTCCATGCTTAGAATATCTCAAAAACTGACGTGTAAACCCGGACAAAAATCTGCTAGGAGAAACCATCATGACTCTCTTCCAATCCACCACTGCGGGCCTGGATTGGCGGGATGAACCTTGGATTTCTCGAAGAACAGACGGTCTGACTCATCACATTATGTGACCATTCTTACCCTCGAGGTAAACTAACATAGCGAACTGGAAATCATCTTTAATAGGTGACTATTTCTATGGGCCATTTTCCAGTTCGCTATGTAACAAATTGCCAGAGGCTAACCATTCTTCACATGATTTCAGATCGTTGTCTTGATGTTTTTGGGTGATTATTAATGTGAGTATAACATACATTGTTTTGAACGTTGGTAAACGCCCTGCAACTTCTTACAGTGGGAAACCACCGGGATGGGCACAGGATATGTGGGGATGGATGTTCATCCCTTTAAGAATGGTATTTATAGGTATTGAACCAGCCAGTGTAGCAGCTACAAACATGACCCGAACATGTTTGGTGGTATCTAATCATATCTAATCTATCTAACATTGGCCGTGCAATATCCCTACGCCGTTTCGATGAGTTTAAAAGGGAAAATTGCATCCCAGGTCCCAGGAAAACCACCAGGCGCAACTTGGGATTCCAAGGCCTTCAATCTCTTGCGTGGAGGACGTGTCCGAAAAGCCAGCCCTCTGTTTTTGTCCACTGATACCGTAGGCTTATCCCATATATAAATGGCTTAAAACATCTTAAAACTATGTCTGGTTGGTGGTTAAAAATAACATAACATGTTTTATGACTTTCCATTCAGTTTGGGATGTCATCATCCCAACTGACGAACTCCATGATTTTTCAGAGGGGTAGGTTGAAACCACCAACCAGTGATCTTTTCTTTTCCACTAGGCGCCCCCACGAACGGTGAACTGATCCTCGTTACTCAGTCACTATGGTGATCCTCCCCTCGTAGCTGCGTCATAGCTGGCAGCCAATCCTCGAGCCATGACGGGTTCCAGCGAAAAATCATCGTCGAAATGGTTAATCAACCTTAAATACTAATCACTAGTAATCATTACCATCCAAAAATGTCACATTTAAATGTCTGGCAAAATCACAAGTACACAATATTGGAATAGAGAAAAACCCACCAGCAGTTGGAACAGATATCAGGAGTTTCAGTGTTTCCGAATTTCCAAACCTTGAAAAAGGGATGGAAATGGCTGGTGGCCGGAAGAAAATGCTACTCGGTAGCTGCAGTGAATGCCTCGAGACATCCATCTTGATTCTTCTCATCATTTCTCATTGCATTCTTTGGTGTTTAGACCATTCCTCCAGAGGTGGATAATGGCCATTATCCACTATAAATGGCCATTATCCACTAACATAGCAATGGAAAATCCACTATTTTCCATTATAGTGGGTAATTGGAACCCTCTGGTTATTTGTGACAGTTCGCGATGGAAGCCATGGCCCATCGAAATAGATGGGTTTACCGTTCTGAATTTCATGGTGGATCTTTCCATGGCAAACTGTTAGTCATAACCAGATGGTATACCCTCTGGTGAACTAACATAGCAATGGAAAATCACAATTTTTAATGGGAAAATCCACTATAAATGGCCATTTTCCATTGCTATGTTAGTTCACCAGAGGGTATGCCGCATGCCGGAAGCCCACTGATTATTCTAAGATTCCTCCGATCCACCAGGAGGCTGGTTCTTGGCCCTTGTCTTCTTGGTGACTCGCTATATGTGGCACAAATGGGTAGCCCTTGAGGGGATGATCATAGCCGACCTGGTGAACTAACAGACATTGCGAAGTGGAAAATCACCATTTTTAAATATGTTTAATAGGTAAACCATCTATTTCTATGGGCCATGGCTTCCAGTTCGCAAACTGTAAACGTTTACCAGAGGGTATGTGACAAACAGACGAGTTACATGACGAGCTTTGATGGATCTTGGGCTCTTTGGAGCCATGATTCAAGTCCCAAATGTGGAGCTATGTGGAGCTCCCGGCATGTTGGAAGCTTCAAACTACACTGGTAGGTGATGATGTCTTAATGATTTTAAACAATAGCACCTTGGCATGAGCAATTGCAGCAATCAACATGGAGATATGATAAACACAGATGATAAACAACCATGGTGGCATGACAGGCATGCTGAACAGCAGCATCATTATTGCAGGAATTCCAGTGCCATGGCATAGGGTTCTGCGTGTTCGGCCCCAGGTCTACATCAGCATTTTCACCATATCCGTTTGGAATCTTGGATTTGAAGGTGCTTTTCTATTCACCCATTGATCAAACCACCATACTTTTATAATCTTTCATATGTGTTCGAAGCTCTTAAATGGGGATAAAATGGGAATTTGCTTCCGATGAAATGGCCCTTCAAAAATATCCAAGGAACATCGTCACCAGTACATTTGTGGAAAAGGTGGGAACATCCGCCGGGAGCTCCCCTGGATGAAACGGGTCCATTGGGTTGATCATGGTGAGCACTTTCTGTCACTTTCCATGTCAGTTTCCCATGGTGAAATCATGGTGAAATCATGTAAAATCCAATATTTGATGTTTCTGCTATTTTCTCATGTCTCTCTTTTTTTGTTGTTGGACTTATCTCAGTCATCTATGTCAGACCATCAAACCATTGAAGAATTATCATCAATTATCGGTCCGAAATATGTCTGGAAATGGAGCTGTATATGATACTGTCAGTATAAGTTCATATAATTTTGATGTATGGCTTTGGAATTTCATGCGTATTCGGCCCCTTCAAGAGGTGACCACCTTAAAAACATGTCATGAAACCCAATCAAGGTTGGTTACTCTAGGCTAAACTAACATAGATCTGAGAAACAAAAAAAACATGGTTTTCCCGGCCCAGGAAAATCTTATTCAAATGGTTGATTTTCTAGATCTATGTTACCCTCTGGTAAACTAACATAGCTATGGAAAATCATTATTTTTAATGAGTAAATCCACTAAAAATGGCAATTTTCAATAGCTATGTTAAATTACCAGAGGGTAGTTTACCCTAAGGGAACATCTCCATCACTACCAGTCACGGTTTTTTGTCGAACCTTTCCGCTCTTCACAGGCGATGAAACTGGCGAAACCGGACTTGGATTCCATGCTGTTGGAGTTCCCTGGCCGGATCAATTCCAAGTCGTAACAGGTTCAGTTTCAGATATCTCAGAGATTTATGATAGATGCATCTGTTTATAGTCTATGGATAAAAAATGCATATATATATATATTAATATATATATATATATATTAATATATATATATTTATATATATATATATATATTAATATATATATATGAATATATATATATATATATGTATATACGAGTGTGTACAAAAATTGTTTATATTGTACGACCATATTCGCGATTGACAGTATGTCTGATTCGACTTTGTATAATCGTCGTGGCCATAATCTTCAGACCCACGCGCGCTTCGTTCGAGAAACTAGAACTGACCATGTAAAGAGATCAATGTCTCCGCTACATTTTTGGGAGCAGCATGAGTTGCACGCATACTTTAAGGATTTGATTTGTGAGGTGATGTTCAGAAATGATCCAGTTTTAACATGTTTAAACATTTTTCAGTTTCCACTAGTTACATGTTTAAGGTATTGAATACGGTGATGTCCAGAAAAACTTCGCCGGCTCAGCAGAAAAAACCAGCACCCTTCACTTTCCCCCAGGCAGAGCCTGAGAGATCTACAAGACTCCGACGAGCTGGAAAAGCTCTTCAAGCCCTACGCCAGTCGAAACAAGGCGAGCCCGCCCTTTGAGACGATGTGAAAATCCCATAGCAGGGGAATCATCGCTGTGGAAAAAAGTGCCAAACATCTTGTACTGATTTATACTGGACCCTCTGGTTATTTAACATAGCCATGGAAGCCATGACCCATAGAAATAGAATGAAATAGATGATTTACCTATTAAAAGTGGTGATTTTTCCATGGCTATGTTAAATATTTATACTGTACATTGAATACCCCCCCAAAAAAGGATGGTTGATAGACCTATCACATAACAGTGATGATTTTCAATAGCTACCTTAACTTTCCAGAGGGTCAAAGATGATAGCAGGTGATGTTCCAATTCCATTACATTCCCATTACATCCACATTATAGTCCATCTATTTTCTCATTTTACTCCATATCTAGGTTAAATAACCATATGGTATTCCCATTTTTCTTGGTTCATTCCAGAAAAAAATGCCATCTGGTTGGTGGTTTGGAACAGTTTTTATTTTCCATATATTGGGAATTTCATCATCCCAACTCACGAACTCATATTTTTCAGAGGGGTAGGTATACCACCAACCAGATTATTAACCATCATTTACCATATAAGAACCATATATTAACCATATATTAACCATATATTCAATCTATATTCCCTGGGCCATTGATCCATCCCAATGCTCTCCCCCCTGTCCCCCTGTTGGTTTCGAGGAGGGTGAAGATGAAATCTCACTGGATGACTTGCAGGACGCGGAGAGCCAGGGTCAAGCTTGGACTAGTCCTGGGTGGGCTTACCATCTATCCATATATCTAGAGATAACTATGGATATATCTGCGCACACACGCATATATATATAATATAATAGAATAACATATAATATAGATAGATAGATAGATAGATAGATAGATAGATGGGTATGATATATGATATATGATTTTACGATATATGATATATGAAAAAGATATATGATATATGATATATGATATATGATATATGATGTGATATATGATATGATATGACATGCATACACACACACACACTTATCCTTCAAGTTTACCTTTTGGGGGATCTGCAAATTCAACAAGCCACCAAGAAGCCGGGGGACACTAAAGGGAAATTGCATACTAAGAAAATGCCAGCAAGGGAGTCAGAGAACCATCATTCCTCTAGAAAAAAAAAGTCATCGGCAACATCATCATTTTTGTTTCATTAACATATATTAACATGTCCATTTGGACGGTTACCATCTGGTTATTTAACATAGCCATGGAAAATGGCCCATAGAAATAGATGATTTTCCCAGCTAGAAACCTCCATGTATTTGTGGGATTTTCCATGGCTATGTTAGTCATAACCAGATGGTACATCTTACCCTCTGGTAAATAAACATAGGCCCTGAAAATCACCAATTTTTAATGGAAACTAGTCTTCCAACCCCCTATCTACCAGGGACTATGTTAATTTACTGGAGGGTAAGTTGATGGTTTGCTTCGACTTCCGGCCGCTTCCAGCCCCGTCGTCCCGTTCCAGCCATCCATGGCCCTCAGGAAGCAGCTGATGAGGCGGAATTCCTCCTCTATTTGTCTGTGAGAGGCACCGACTTTTCTGGAACGGAAAGGGAGTTTGAAAAAAACAGCACCAGAATGGGGAGATATTTCATTTGCAAATGACCAAACATCTTGGGATGCGGAACATTGGGTTCTAAGGCATCAAATTTGGAGGTACCCTATGTTCCGGCAGAGCCATACTTTCGAAACAACAACAAATGAGGGTATAGCTATACATTATATATATATGAATTTATATGACACAGAGCAACAAACACTGGTATACCATCAGGTATATACAAGACCGGCGTTGGGAAATTGCAGATTCATAATGGGTCTGCGTTTCCATATGTTTTAAGAAACTTACCGGTCGTGACATCAAAAAAATACCAAAAATTATTACACTTCAGCCAGGTTGCTGGCTGGATGTGGGCTGGGGACAAGCTTCGGATCGTGCGACATGTGGCACCGGCATGAAAATGATGTGGATATTCTAACAGGTATGATCCGACATGAAAATACTGTTCATTGGTTTCACGAGTTCAAATCACAAAGTCACTGTTTGATATGATACTTTTACAAATTTCCAGTGCCTTTGGCACTATTCAATGTTAAAGCGGCCAACCAAATACACTGATGGACAACTTGCTATTATCATCAAGACATGTGCCACACCATATCACACCGTTTTTCCCCATATAGACTTGCATTGGTTACTGATTTTCCCCATAAGTTTTTCCCCATATATCTTGCATATGGTTACTGATATCATGTCGCAAACTGTAAACGTTTACCAGGTCGGGTATCAATTACGGTTACTTGGGGGGATTTACCCAACTGTAGTGGTTTAGCCTTCGATAAATAACGAATGATGCTACTGGCGCGGGGCTTGCGGCGGAAGCTGGGCCATGCCAGCTCGCCGTCCCAGTCCTGGCATCGTGGCGATGGATTCACACCGATATTATCAATGCATTGGATGAGTCGAGGATCAAAATCAGATAAAATCAGTGAAAAAGATCACATTATAAAGTGATATAAATTAATATACCCATAGGATCCATGTATGGTATATATATATGCTAACATTTGGGGTATATTGATGGTAAATGTTACCAGATAAAGCATACATGGATCCTATGGGCTAATTATGTGAAAACAACTCTCAACAATGAAGACCAGAATTTATTGAGACCCTCAACATACCAGACATTCCCAGCGTTCCGACCTCTGATTGTGACCTTCGATGCCAGGTATCGACGTGAAAAACGTGAAGCTTTTCTTCTACATGTTGGGCTCGATGCGCGAGGCCCGCGCCCGGGCCCATCGTGGCGAGTCAGATGGGAACATCCTGAAATTGGACTTATCTGGATTTCCCTGGGAAAATCAACAAATGGAGGATCTATACTAGAATCATGTAGAATCTCGAAATGAAATCTCAGTGGATTTAGATGGAAAACAAGTCATTTTAGTGGGAAACAATCATCTATGAACGGAGGTTTTAATAGTAAAATTCCGTGTAAATTGTTATTTTAATGGACACTCATTGAACTTTTCCAGCCAGACATGTTTGATTTTGATACCAGCTTTTGAACATGATTTTCCGAAAGAAAAGAGGAATTAAGAGACAGTGAACATTCAGAAGAGGATGGTTTGGATATGCTTGGATGATTTTGTAAGCGGACATGGCAGATACATAGCAGTTGTGCGTCCCTGTTTGAGCTGAACCCCTCTCTCTCTCTATATATTTACAATGAATATGAATGAATATGAATGAACATGAATGAACATGAATGAACATGAATGAATATGAATATTCATATTTATTTATGCTGTATACACATTGACTAGTAACTAGTATTGAGTCTATTTAGCCATGATAAATTCGAGGCTCTTCTATTGGTTATACACCCGGTGCTTGTCCCCAAATGTTGCCAGTTGACAATCCCATATGCTCCTGGAGCATGGAAGATGTGCCAATAATTGCTCCACAATCATCCAATTTATGGGTATAATCCCTTCCAAAATTAGAGATGGACCCTAGTTTTTATATGTTTTTATTATTGTGGGAGGGTTAGTAATAGGGGGAAGGGATTATATACTGATGTTTAGATATTCCATGTGTGGTTGATGGGGCATCATGTATCAACGATGGTTCATCAACAGTGCCATCTACTGGCTGGAGTCCCCACCACATTCGGTCGCCGGAGCGTCGAGGACAACGTGATCGATCTCAAGTCTTTGGTGAAAGCCTGCGCCCGGAATCCTGGAGATGTCTCCCGGGAATTCCAGGTTTCTAACAGCTACTGTCTGACTATTTGTTTGGGGCTTGCTTTACATACCATGGTTGGATCAATGTTTAAAACAAACAAATCGTTGAACAAAAAAACATATGTGCGACGAAGACGTTTGCTGATATTTGCCTCTAAAAATGATGACAGGTTTGCGACAGCGTTCTGATTACTTTGAAGACGTATAATGTGGATCTCACTGATGACACTATGATGAAGTAATAAATTTGCTGACGTATAAATGATATAAATGTATACCACCAAATTTGGTTGCAATTTCTTCGGATTGTTTACAAAGACAATCATAATAATAGCGAGCTCATGTGTGATTCCCAGGGCCATAATTACTTTTGGGTCAAAGAGTGTAGCGTAGCGGAATGGAGCAAACTAAGTGTCAGTAGGATCCCATGCCGGCGATGTGAAGAGAAAGAGGATCCCAGAGGTTCAGCCAACTGGACCCTCCAGTGGTCCAGGGGCGAGGCCAGAACCTTGAAGCCAGCTGGTTGGTGGTGACTGGAACATGGCTTTTATGACGTTCCATTCAGTTGGGAATGGAATTTTATCATCCCAACTGACCAACCCCATGAATTTTCAGAGGGGTTGAGGTTGAAACCACCAACCAGCCAGGTTCGAATGAAGGGCTTCGCAACCTCCATTGACTTGCAATCCGTCTCCTTTGAAGCCAAGCTCATGCACCTTGGATGATGGGGATGCTTCCTTGAGGCGGTGAAATTAGCAGAATGGCAGTGTCACCAAGCTGTTAAAGATCCACATGAAAATAAAGGATATTCATGGGATATTCATGGGCTTATGTGGGATTATATTCAATGACAATAATGATGTCAAATCTTAGATCCACAATTTATTTTAGGGCTGTGTATCAGGCAATTGCGAAGTGCGAAGCTTCAGTCGGAGGGTTGGATCCCGGCCTTCTTACGGATGTCGTGTAGAAGACTGATTGTCAATCAGCAACAGTGGTGATACAACAACTGATTGATTGGGATAAACGGTATGAATGCCCATCGATGCTTCCATAGCCCACCCCCTTTTTTGCATATTATATATATATGCACACACACACATATGTAAATATATATATATCAGATATCATTGATAATACAACCAATAATGATTATAAACGAGTTCTTTGCGCAATTCCAAGTAGGCCCATATATTTGATCGCCTGACAGATGGGTCCTCGCAGCCAAGGCATGGGCAAGTCAAAGAGATGTTAGAGGCACTTCTCCGGGGATGTTTGGACGGACGCTTTCAGGGAAACAACCGAGCGATCTCCAGCAATTCAAACGGAGAAATGTTAAAAAAATGTTGCGTAACCCCATTACCTACAAATACCCACCATGGGAATTGATGGTGGCTGGGATCTGGTCAAATGCATGGAAGCAGAAGCTCCACGGAAGCCATTTTTTCTCACCCAATTTTTGGTCCAATGGATCCTATACAATACTATACTATACTTATATACTTTCTGAGAAGGACTTGACGCCCCCAATCATACCCCAAACACTCCCTCAGAAGGTACGGCTGGATCCATAGGCATTACATGCAGCTGATTTGAGCACGCGTTTTTTCGGCAGGCAATCAGCAAGCGCATTGACAACCTCGAGGCCCAGCTTCTGTTAGAGGAGGACATCTTCATTAATAAAAATGTGTTTTTTATGGCTATCAATGGAGATCCAATTGGATTACAACTAACCGACTTGATATGACATGGATGAAAAAAACACTCTGGTAGTTTTACAGTTTGCCATGGAAAATCCACGAACATCATCATTTCAATGCGTTAATCGGATTCTAATAGGTATAGATTATCTATAAGTGGGCCATGTTCCATAGCTATGTCAAATTACCGGAGCATAGCAATTTTTGAGAGCTTACTGTTGCTATTGAGGGATATTGAGAGTCACGCGGTGGACATTGCTCTCCAGGAAACTCACACGGTGCCATGGTATCACATATGACTCATGACCTTGGTTCGCTGGCGATAGTCATTCTAGATGTCTTTCCGGAGATCCACGTTTTTTTGTCATTGAAAAACCAACTGGGTGACTGGGATTCTGCCCCAATTTCTGGAGAGATTCCCAAGTCGTCCATTTCATGATTTTTGCCGAGGTATATCCCTTCAGAGACGATGAACTACTTCAGGAGTGGAGCGATTGATTCGAAACGCGTTCGATCCCCCGTTTGATTCGAAACCCTTACGACGGTTATGGATGGTTATGGGTTATCAAACTTTGTGGATGTTTGGCTGGACACATTCATCATAAAAAGTGGGTTAAGTGGGTTTCCCCTTTATCAACGGATGAGAATATGATGAGAACTTATAGATTTTCTTGTGGATATCCCAGCTTCAGATGGGCTTAATTTTGCAAAATCTCCTTATTGAATCATTCCTGCTAGGTTTCATGCTATGTTCCCAGTTTCAATTCAAATTGATTTGGTGGGTGGGGAAAGCTGCATGATAATCCATGATAAACCCGTGGGTTTCCGCACGAGACGATCTACAAACGGTCTGGGCACATTTCTTACGAGCTCACGGACGTCACTGGGATGATGGTTAGTAGGTTTTGTTTTCTCGTTATCCCAACATGTCCTTTAATTTCTACCCAAATCTCAGGTTAAACATGAAATCTACTAGACATCTTTTGGATATCTAGTTTCTACATTTTATCTGAGGTTTTTCTTCCTTATCACTATATCGAATTGTTCCACGGCTGGATCTTGTCAGGCTGTGGCGAAGCCCAGTGCCTTGGCTGATGCTGGTGTACCCGACAGGATTTTTGTTTTAAATTAATGGTTTTTACCCTCTGGTTATTTAACATAGCCATGGAAGATCCCTCATAAATGGAGGTTTTAATGGGAACATCCACTATAAATGGGCGTTTTTTTCCATGGCTATGTTAAATAACCAGAGGGTAATGTTTTTCTTACTGGTGCTTAGTAGGGAATGGATGGGTTGCTGGGGGTTGCTGGGATGATGAAATTACTAGTGATGACTGGGATCATTCCCGAAAATTCCCTGCGTTTAGCACCAGTAAGTTTTTTTTTATGAGCAAAACTAGAAATCCAACGCAGCATCAATGGAAATAATTCGTCATAGACTTGAAATGACTTGAACATATAGTACTTGAACAAAAATCATCAGAAAATTATAAGTCTGGGTTTGCTAATAGTGCTGGGGTTTCCCCACGCTTAGCTATGGTCCAACTATCTGTCAAACTTTGGCTGAGATAACGTATGAATTGGGGGATGTTGACCGCACACCATTTTCATAGTGAGGTATATGTCCATTGCAAGGAATCCCAAATGATGGGATTCAAGACTACAAGCCATGTTTTGTAGGGTTTAGGTCATATCAAAATAGCTATTGAAAGTGGTGATTTATAGATATTTAGTTCGTGGATTTACCCATTGAAAATGGGGATTTTTCATAATTATGTAAACCTTTACCAGAGGCTAACCATTTTCCACAAAGTGCTTTATAGCCAATGCTGGGAGATCCTACGAAACTCACACTCGCACAACCAAAAACTGCAGAAACTCAATCAGCACAATGGTTTCCACAGTTATGGCCCGAGTTATACCAGTTATAAGTACTAAGAAAACCCCATTTATAAAATGTATAATCCCACTGAAATAACCAGTTATAACTTTCATAAATGGCCATAACTGCAGTTAAGATTTACACCACTTGGTGATAACAAAAAACACTGGTGATCTTCTCTCTTCTGCTCTTCTCTTCTCTGACTCTTCCCACCTCTGCTTTTCCATCTGTCCATATTGTCCGAAGTTTGACGTCTAAACTTCCTTCGAATAACTATAGTTAACTGGGTTTAAAAGTGATTAAACATGTCTATATAACTATCCTATCTATAACTGGGAGTTCATTGCGCTTGGACCTTGAATCATGCCAAACCGTCCATCAAGAGAAAAAAACCGATGAACACCGTGTATGCACTGGGAAAAACATTGGGTGGGTACTACTGACTAGCTAACCGATTGTTAATGTGTTGCAAAGTATCTAAGATTGGCCATAGGAAACAAAATGGTATGGGAACTGCCTATGATTTACCCTAGTTTGTTTTGTAGTGCATGCATTATGGACACCCATATCCAGGTACATTATCAGGTAGATTTAGCATGGCTGAATTAAATCATACCTTACTAACATTTAACCGCTAGTATATACCCTCCAGTAAAGTAACATAGCTATGGAAGATGGTGCATTTCTAGATCATTTACCTATTAAAGACGTATATTAATATTACTTTGCCAGAGGCTATAGTGGATCTAGTGTTTTTTTAATTAAAAAAAACAGTGGCAGCTAGGGGTTTTGCCATCACAGCCGGGCTAGGGCTTGACTGCTTTCGTTGCCCTTCAAAACGGACGAAGTCCTTGGATTTGGAGAGACCGGAAAATCATCCAGTTTATCCTATGGTGAAGAGCTAGGGAAATCCCTTATAAATGGAGGTTTTCATGGGAAAATCATGTTAAAATCATGGGAAAATCATGGGAAAATCCATAGAAATAGATGGTTTACCGTTCTTAATTTCATGGTGGATCTTTCCATGGCAAACTGTAACAAATAACCAGAGGGTATGTGATTTGAATCATGGATTATTACCAAATCAGAAAAGAACATGACATTTGGTTATGACTAACAGTTCGCCATGGAAAATCCCAACCAATAAATGGAGGTTTCTAGCTGGGAAAATCATCTATTTCTATGGGCTAAATATGGTACTTAACTGGAATTCCCATGACGGATCCATGGTGCTGCTATATATGGTAACATTTATATACCATCAATATACACCAGTCATGTTAGCATTAATATACCAGCACCATGGATCCGTCATGGGATATGGATTAGATGTTTACCGGATGGTATTATCATGTATTATAAAGCAAAAGAACAAGTTCCATAAAAATCATCAAAATATGGTTACCTAAGGGATGTTTACCAGTTTGCCGGAGAAATTTCAGAGGGTAACCATCCCTGAACTTCCAAGCCCAGGCCCATTGAACTTTCTCAAGTTCAATCCTCAGTTCAAGTGGAGTCCCTTTTGAACAGCAGGATGATGCCCCCCCCAGTTATGTTTGTTGGTTTATAAACCCCATGAACCAATATTAACCTGGTTGGTGGTTTGGAACATTGCTTTCATGTTTCCATATATTTGGAATTTCATCATCCCAACTAACTAATTAATTTTCAGAGGGGTAGGTATACCACCAACCAGACATAGTATAGAGTAATATAGAGTATACTTACATATATTTATCACTATTAATCACTATTAACCACTATGAATGGCCATTTATAGTGGATTTACCCATGAATAATGGTGATTTTCTATAGCTACGTTAGTTTACCAGAGGGTATATCTACCATAAACCATAGATTTTTTTCGCCACAAAAATCTCTTCGGCCAACGGGCCACGGGGCCCGGGAGGCCCATCCTGAGACCGGAGTAGCTCCATGAGAAAAAACGATGGACTTCATGGGTACCCGACCTGGTAAACATTACCAAACTAGACGATGGAAAGATCCACCATGTTTCATGGGAAAATCTCTTTTTTTTTAAAAAAAAAATGCCATATTCAATATTCCATAGCTACACGTAACAAATTACCAGAGGGTATGCAAAATGAAATCGAAAATCAGGATGGGAAAAAAAACAAATATGTTGTATGATGGGAATTAAAGATGGGAATGTATACAAGAACATACAATATGTATATACAAAGATGAGAATCTAAATCAGGATGGGGGGAAAAAACATATGGAATCACATAATCTAACTTTGAGTTTTATACCCATTTGGATAAACAAACAAAACCATACAATATGAGAAACCACTTTTGGCAATTGGAAAGTCCTAAATTGCAATTTTCAAAACAGGCAAGGTTTTTGGACCGGGGTCCTCTGGACATGTTGAATGAATTGTAGTTGATACAGTATCTCAAATTTAAACAAATAGTCAATGGTAATAGTTTGCATTGTTTCTCCATGTATCAATTCAATATGGCACAATTTCTACAGTAGACTATATTCACAAGAAAGCTGCCAGGCAATCGGGCATTGACAGCATGGACCCCCCAGAAGAGAGCAGTGGCTACTGAACCCCTGTTGGTTGATGATTACTACAGGATGGGGCCCCCCAGTTATAAGTTGCTTTATAAACCATTATAATCCCCATGAATACTAGTTCGTTATATCTACCATAAACCATTGTTAATTCAGCCACTTATAAACCAACGGTTCACGCTATCGAACGGGGGCCCCACTTTGTATGGGTTATACAAAAACCCAGTTGTGGGTTATACTACCACCAATCCCTGATGGGACATCCATGGAAAACCAGTCGTAAGTGAAACACCATCGATGGGAACACAGATGCTGGGAGATATCCCAGCACCTCTCCATGGTGCTGAAATATTTACCAACATTTGTCCAAAAATCACCCAGCTATGTAGGTAAATATACCATACATGGAGCATATGGGATATGTAATGATGCTTAATGATGAAAGTCTATTTAACCCACTATATTTTTTAAATATAGTGTTCATTCATATAGTTTCTGGGTGAATTAATAATATCTTACAACCAATTTGATATATCGGGGATTCACGAGCGCTTCTCATTTGGTGCCATGACCTCACAGCTCTCATAGCTCTGTGCTAAGGGAGTACCCAATCGAGCACGCCAGCCTCTGATCTGGGCTCCATCAGAGCCGGTGGCAGTGAAGTTGAGGTTGTACAATGGGATAATCATGGAAAATACTGTAAGATCCTTAGGTTAGGATATAACCCTACAGAGGTTTGGTTCTATAAGTTATATATCCATATGTACACATTATATATAATTATATATATATATGTATATATCATATCCGGTTAAAATTGGAAGTGCAGCCCCAAGTGCAGGGTGTGTTGCACCAAAAAAAACATATTGAGATTACCAGCACCGTCCTGGCATCAGCCGATTTTTCTGTGGGATCACCAACTGTTTCCTACATTTAAACATTGGCAAAATGCTCTCCTGCGATGGCTAACCAGGTCATAATGTTAAATCATATTTGTTCCCAAAGGGTATGTTTGCTTGACTTACCTTTGTCATCCTTTTTTCACACAATTGAAGCACGAGAGTCCACCCAAAACAGGACTAATCAACAGCATGGAACACCGGTCCTCATCAGAGTTGCTCCGGCTGCGGTTGCGGTACGGGGTGGTGATAGCCATTGTCTGTCAGGGAACCAACCAGACTCCATGAAGATGAATCTGGGTGAATTGTGGTGGTGGATGATCACACCATGTCGCAATTGGTCATTTTTAACGGACCTGTACAATGTGAGGCCCCCAAGATAGCGTTCAGTTGGTGCAAATAACTCCAATACCTATGGTTTATGGTACCTATAACTATAGTTAATGGGGTTTATAAACCATCTTATAACTGGGGGGGCCCACATTGCAGGTACATCGACTCTGCCGTTGCCGTTTGGACAAAACCAAGTTTGGGAACCACCCCCTGCTGACCATGCGGCAGGGCACCCCCTAAGGAGGTGCTGGGCCGCCATGCGGCCGCCAAGAAGGGCTTGGCGAGCCAAGCTTCTGTCCGCCACTGTGTGATGTGCTGGTCCTTTTCGGGTGGCCCACAAATACCAAATGCAGTCCATGGGTAATTAGTTATAGTCATTTATTTTATGTTGGGGTTCTCATAACTTGAAATAGTTGGTGAGCCAAATCCACAGCCCAAGAATGGCCAGCAGTGACACAAGGTGGCGGCTCCGCGGCTCACCCCAAAGCTCGTCTGCTGTGGGATACCATGTGGCTTGATACCTTTGGGAGGTTTTCCCAGCGAAGCGTCCCTGACGTAGATCGCTTTCGTTGCACCTAGCCGCGACAAAAGGCCTGTTGGCGCTGCAACATTTGGAGCAGGGAGTAGCGAACTGGTACTTCTTCAGCCTTCCGACTGCACGTTACATCGTACATGACGCTGTAGATTGGTATATAAGTATAGGTACAGTTTTGGCCCTTTACCAGTTATAAGTACTTATAACCCCATTTACAAAATGTATAATCCCACTTATAACCAGTTATAACTTTCATAAATGGCCATAACTGTAGCTTATGGATGCTGGTAGTTTGGTGGTGCTATACCTCAGGGATGACATGCCGGTTAAAAAGTGTGTTGGATTCCCATGGGTGGATGAAAGCTGTGAATCACCCATATTTAAGGCTTGTTATTGAAGGGAACTGCACGGCGACATACGGCGACATACGGCGACATTGCATCCATTGCATCGCGCCGGTGAATGCTCAGCCATTGATTGATTGAAATGGCGTTCGGTGAATCTCGGGATGGGAAAAACTTTGAATGTGAGATCATGCGAGATATCTTGATGCTGGCTTTTCAAAGGGTGTGGTCCAAATCGTTTCCCAGTTGATTTGGCAGCAATATCTTCAAAGGAAGTTGAGTTTGACAACTTCCGAGTTACGGACGATGGTCATGGTTAGCATTCACACCACCATGTCAACCACATCATCTTATTAACAACATCAGCATGTCAACCACATCACACTGTCAACCACATCAACATCAACATCAGCATCAGCATCATCATCATCATCATCATCTTCATCTTCATCATCAACAAGCAGTTGGGAAGTGTAACGGAAGCGTCTGAATTCACGGGTGCAAACACTTCCGGGCATGAAACCCTGCGTTTTTTCAGGTAATGTGGCTCTTGGGGTCGCCAAAGTAGGGTCTCCATTGGCCAGCTGCGTGCAGCAAAGCATGAGTGATGCTTCGGCGCTCCTGGCAAAGCGGGATTGCAGCTGGAGGCTGCTAAACGCATTGTAAAATCTCGTGGCGGAAGCTACAAAAGAGCTAGCTGCGAGGCAGCTCAGAGCAGAAGTAGCCCACACAAGTGGCTGCTCAGAGAAGAAGTAGCTGAGAGAGGAGGTGCCTCATTGAAGAGGTCCCTCAGTGAAGAAGTGGCTCAACAAAGAATAGTAGCTCACCCATCCATCCACCCTTCATTGATTTGCTCCTTGACCCATGGGTTCATGAGTTCGCTGGTTCATCGGTTCATTGATTCATTGTTTCATTGGTGCACTGAATCAGGGATCCGTTGGCTCATGCATTCGCTCATCCATTGATTCATCGACTCACTCTTTCATTGACTCATTGGTTCATTGATTCATCGACTCACTAGTTCACCAGTGCATTGGCTCATTGAACCGCCAGTTCACTGAATCATTGCTGATTCATTGATTCATCTACTCACTACCTCATTCATTCATTGATTCACTGAACTGTTGATTTATCGACTCGTTGGTTTGCTGGTTGGTTGGTTCATTGAGTCATGGCTTCGTTGCTTCATTGATTCACTGGTTCATTGGTTCATCGGTTCACTGGCTCATTGGTTCATTCACTCAGTTGTGCACGGATTCTTCCATGTCATTTCATTGGCATCTCAACCACCATGTCGTCATGTCTTGATGCACCTCACAACCTCACATGTTTTCTGCATCTCAAAAACGTTCCTATAGGCCATTGAATTCTTATAGTCATCTCCTCTTTTCGAAAGTTGCGCTCCGGCGCGTGCCGGGCACTATCTGGTATTGAGACTTTTTCAGGGGGGAGTTGGCCCATCTTTTCGATTATACTTCACGATTGTCCAGGGAAATCCTGTAGGAATATGAAGCAATATTTGATTTCCATTGATTTCCGTTATCTACCTAGGAAACAGTAGGTCAATAGCCCAAACGTAGGCAACAATTTCCTTAAGTAACTCCAACGAATGCTACTGTGGTTTATAATTTCATCATGTCCGCATATTATATCCCAATATAAATTTGATTTCACCCAACAACTGCGCAGGTGAGAAAAAGATTAAGATAATTTCTAATACCATGCGCGTATAAAATCGTATAAAGAAATTCCCAAAATTTCTGACATGTTTTTTTTTGGTAATGCGTATCAAAAGAAAATCTGATGAATGGTGAATCCGCCTGCCTGGGCGCTGCCATGGACCCCATATCTAGCCATGGCACGGCAGCCGCAAACTCGGAGCTTATTCCACCAGCGTCGGAGTTGTCCTCGGCAGGCGCGAAGGGCGAGGAACAGGAGATACAGCCATTTTTTTGAATAATCTTTGCATATATATATATACAACACACACACACATATATATATATATATTTAAATACATACGTATTAATCAATGTATTCATTTGTTTTATCTTTATATATCTTTATCTCTATGTTTATATTCATAGTTATCCTGCAGCATATTTTTTGACCGTTTCAACAAGAAAAGGCGGTATAGATTCGCAAGGCTTCCGTGGCGCACGTTGCTGGAGCTTTCCTAAACTCAGTTTTTTTTTTCGTTCAGCGATTGACTTTGTTTCTGCCGAGCTACAGTTTCCATGTTTGAATGTGATAGTCCCAGAATTGGCTGGGAAAACAAGGATTAAAACAAGAAAACGCTTTGTTGTAAAAAGGAAGAAAGAACACGAATGAGGGCTAACAGCCCGAGTTTCAGCCGTATTTGTTCCCGTTGGTATGATTACATATTTCATGTTGCTTTATATCAAATATATCAATGAAATGCATAACATGAGCTAAGATTTTTGAAGTCTGACGATTTTGGTTGGGTTTCGCCCTGGGCAGGTTTGACCTTGTTGGAACGCTTGCCACTGGGCTGCCGAACTTTGGAACGCTGCAGCATTTTCAGCTTTAACTGCGTGAGTCATGAGTGTTTGTCCAAGGGTATAGGGGTATTCCATGTTACAGTCACTTCTTAGATGATCACCCCACTGAAAAAGTGCTTAATGACCATCACTAATTAATATTGGCAAGGGGGTTGAATTGACCAATGTCATATATAGAGTTACAATCATTTTCCGCGGGGAAAGTAAGTGATGATTGTGAAAAAAAACATGTTTTAATGAGAATTTTCCATGCACAAGTATGAAATTAGTTGCCTTCCAGTAATCGAACATTTTGATGGAAAGTCACCACTTTGATAGGTAATCATCCCCGTCGCCATTTGCACCGCAGAATGGTATAGACTGACCTGCCATAAAGTGACCATTCTGTGGCAAATGAGTTTGAAAAATGGGGTCAGGGTTGCCATTTTGTAGTAATTGGTTGGTTTTAGCATGGTTTAGCTGGTTTTGTCTTTTTTATTTGAAGGCGTGATCATTTATGGGCACCACACCCAACCATTCTGTAGAGGTTTTTCAGGGTAAGTTTGGTGTTTTGAAGATTTTGTCAATCAGCCATTTGACGACCAGCAAAAACTGAGAAACAATCGTTCCAACACATTTACCATTTTGTAAGTATATGTTTGTGTTTTCTGATGTGCCAGACTATGGTTGCCACGGTTGGCTCAGAGACACTTGCGTTTGCCTGGGCTCCTATCGACAGCAGTGTTCGCCAATGACCTTACTCTGCCTTGCTTTGGGTTTGTTTTTGCCACGTTCAATGGACGAAGCTTTCATTTGCAAACAGACTGTCAGCACATTGTTGGCAAAAGGATGTCTACTTTGTTTGTTTGCAGAAGTTGCATGAAGCAACTTCCAGCCTCGTCCAAAAAGGACGATTGACAGGGTTTTGCTCCACAAAATGGCAGTGGGAAAAAGGCAGTTTGAGCTGTCTTCCTGGTTTTCCCCAAACAGTGTGGCCACACTGACGGGTTCTTACGGTA